AGTTTGATGAATTAATAGGCTTCAGGGTCTGAGCAACTTATGTTCAAATCCTGGTTTACTACCCTTTAGCTATGACCTTTCTCAAGTCACTTAACTTATCTAAACCTTAGTTTTCTCACCTCAAGATGGGAAGAACTTAATCTGCCTTGCCAGAATTGTTGTGAGGGTCACATGAAATAACATGGGGTAGTAGCCAGCTCAGTGCCTGGAGGATAAGCATCCTTCCAATGAATGACTACTTTCTTGTTAAAATGTGTAATTATTGATCAGTTATTTCAAAGAGGCATAGCTAAGCCATATTGCTAGGCTTTTCATACTTTTCCTTTCAAAGCCATTGCAATTGTACTTTAATTGCTTTTTATGGATAATATACAAGATGAAGCAAAGCCCATTTTGTATTAATGATCCATAACGTGGGATACTTTTCTCTATGCACTTAGAGCATAGATGCTTTTAATAATTCCAGGAACACGGTAGTGGCAGTAGGCAGACCTCTCTCAGTAAACTGGAAATGATTCTGTAGGGCTTGCCATCTAGTCATTTTCTGATTTGCCATATCAGAAAGGTACTTCTTTGAGGATTGGGGGCATTTTACTTTATTTATTTATTTATTTTTAATCCTCACCCGAGGACACTTTCCCATTTTTTGTTCAGGTAGAATGGGAGGGAGAGAGAGGAACAGAGAGAGAGAGAGAAACATCGACGTGAAAGGAACACATCGAGTGGCTGCCACCCGCACGACCGACCAGGGCCGGGGACAAACTGCAACCGAGGTATGCGCCCTTAGCAGGAACCGAACCCGGGTCTCTCAGGACCACAGGTCGACGCTCTAACCGCTGAGCAAAACCGGCCAGGGCGGGGGCATTTTACTTTTAAAGCATGTTTATAAAGTCCTATACAGTGAGTTCGCTGTAAGTATGTTAATTCCTAACTGTTGCTGTCTCTGCATCCACGTGAAGCCTGTTGTTGCAGAGGTTCCTTGGCATACAGACCAGTTAACTAAAATCATAGCAGATTGGATACCTGACTTGACTGCTGTAGATTTTGGTGATTAGCAAGGTGGTTTTGGAGTTTCACTGCATGCTAGCACTAATTTTACTAGCACACTGACATTCTGACCCCTCTATGCAATGGGTCCATTCTGACCCTTCTCTCCTCCATGGGTAAGCTCATGACAACCACTGATCCACTTAAAATTATTTAACTTGGTCAGGTGAACAAGTGAAGTGATTGTGGGAAGAAATCACATTACCTCCCCTCTTGCCTCTTCACTCTGACTGTACTCACCCTACCTGGGATAGGTCATTTATCTTACCCTGGGGTTAGCACTGTAATTTTCCTGTTCAGCAGGGCTCAGTCTCCCAAGAAATACCAGCATACTTATCAAGCTGACAAAATCCCACGTGCTAGCTAGTCATTCTTGCCTCATACCACAGGATTCTTCCATAGGGAATAGTAAGTTTTCTTGTTCACCCCAGTCCTACATCTCTCATTCTTCTTCCCTGTAGGCAAAGTGGAAGAGGAGAACCTGGCAGTTTGCAAACAAACTCAGTAGGATAGCAGTCAGAGACTGTACATCTCCAAGTCTCTCTTTTCTGAAGAGTGTAAGGGGAATTGGAGAATGAATTTTCAAGCCCCCAGTAAAGATTTGATCATTTTCTTTCAACATTAGGAGGTTTGCAGATCAGAGAGGGAAGTTTTTCAAAATTGTCAACAAAGGGAGACTTCTGTATACACCTCATAATTGGTTCCACTTTCAGTCCTTTAAGTAATATAAGCAGATGCCATCTATGTGAATCTGTTTAGGGCTGGGGGATGAAAAAATATTCCCAAGAGAAAGTGTTTAGTTTGTATGCTAATGTTAAAAGTACAAACTCTTTCACTCCCTGAAATAACCCTGAAGATAGTTATTATTTAGGCTTAGGGCTTTCCAGTTTGGAAAGAGGGGACTTTTAACTGACCACATTAGGAAATATGTCTTTTTGGTATTTAAATATATGTCAGAAGGAGTAAAACCTAGTAGTTTGTTGACTTTGGTGAACTTGTTCTGTTTGAGTGAGCAGGTGTGAGGTATTTAACACTGGAGAGTCTTTCCACCTTGCCCTTTCCATAATAACCCTTTCTCTCTCTCTCTCTGTGTGTGTGTGTGTGTGTGTGTGTGTGTGTGTGTTAGAAACAAAGTTGAGAGAATGAAAATAGTGCTGAGGTAGATACATTTCCTTGACTCCCAGCTAAGGAAGAGCTTTCTTAGCTTTTGTATCAGGATGAGCTTTAGTGCCTTACTGTGCCGAAGTCCCCTAGGTACAAGGACCTTGTCAAAATCATTTTTGGTATCCCCAGTGCCCAGCACATAGCTGGTGCTTCTTAAGTGCTTATAAAACACATGGGTTGAAACGATATACAGTGGGCCAGCTTTCCAGTGTTTTCCTACTGATTGTGCCTTACAAGTGGGTCTACCCATTGTGGAAAAGTCCTTATCTCTTAGGAAAAAATTGCAACATGTATTCCTACTGTGGAAGAAAAGTGTGTTTTCCTCTTGTGTTTAAATATATCGCCTCCCCCCTTTTGCTTTTTTTTTTTTTTTAATCCTCACCTGAGGGTATTTTTCTTCTGGTAGAGTGGGAGGAAGGGAGAGGGAAAGGGAGGGAGGGAGAGAGAGAAACACTGATGTGAGAGGGACACATAGATTGGTTGACTTTTGCACAACCCTGACCAGGGCTGGGGACTGAACTGCAACAGAGGTACATGCCCATGACTGGAATAGAACCCGAGACTCTTTGTTTCACAGGCCGACACTCTAACTGCTGAGCCAAACCAGCCAGGGCACCCCTTTTGCTTTTTATTCCATTCTTTCACCTTTCTCTGCTTGTGCTGTAAGCTTATCTTTGGTTATATCTGTCTTCACTTCTGTTCCACTCTCTGGTTTAAGAGGTGACTTTTCTCCTGTCTGAAAGTGTCCACTCAAAATCTGATCACTAGGTGTCAAATTTCCTTCTACTCCTGGCCCTTACTCCCATCATTTATTGCTAGATTCCTTCCTCTATAATCTCTTAGTTGTTGGGGACTTCCTCTGCAGTCTTTAAATATATGTACATTTCTCTTACCTGGATCCTCTTCAGCTACTGCCTTCTTTCTCCTGTTTATAGTCAAAAGTTTCTTGAAAGAATAATTTATCCTTAGCATATGGCAAATCCTCACTTCTCATTCACTTTCCCAACCTATAGTTATGTTCCTAAACTGCACAGGCATAGAGCATACCCACATTTCCCTAAAACTAGGTCCATTGGGCATTTTGCATTTTTAAAAATATGTTTTTATTGATTTTTTTTTTTTTTTTTTTAGAGAGAGAGGAAGGGAGATAGAAACGTCGTGAGGGAGAAACATGGGTCAACTGCCTCCTGCACACCCCCTACTGGGGATTGAGCGTGCAACCTGGGGATGTGCCCTGACTCGGAGTCAAACCGGGACCTCTCAGTCCATGGGATGATGCTAAATTCACTGAGCCACACCAGCAGGGTGGGCATTTTGCATTTTTTTATTGTATTCTACTTTCCAGGTCATTTGCTAGTATGGATAATTTCTTCTTGAAACTCATAATACTCTTTCAGTTTTTCCACCTCTGAGCATTGTTCCTTTCTCTGTTCTGCTGGTTGGTTTCTTCTGCTTGCCCATTAGATCAGGTCTTCCTAAGGGTTCTCCCAGACCTGCCTCTCTTCTGCCCTAGACTGTCCATCCATCTTTTGCTCCACTCTGGGTTTACATACTTGTAGAAGGCTGAGGATTCCCAAACCTGCATCTGCAACTGAGACCAAACCCTTATGTGCTCTGTATACATGTGCATGTCCTACAGGTACAAAACTCAACTCATTTTAATCTACCCTCTCCTTTACACATAGACATGTGCCTTCTCCTGAGGGCTTTATCCCAGTTAATGATTCCGCTGTCCATCTGTTGAGTAAATCAGAGACCCTGGGATTCATCCAAGACTGTTTTCTTTCTCCCTTCCCCCACCTTTTCAGTTCATTGACCCAGACTGCTAATTCTGGCAAAGATCTTGGGACAAGCCCAGAAAGCCAAATGGTAGTTGTGAACTTCTAGGTTTGCTTTTTGCCTATGCGTTTCCAGAGAAATTGTAGTTAAAGTATTGTTATTATGGTAGTAGCAACAACAACTGATGTTCGTTTAGTGCTTCACCAAAAGAGAGTGCCCAGATGAGAAAGATGAAGTATGGAAAGGTTATGACTTGTTAGTAATAGGTAACATAGCCCATAAATAGTAAAACAGAGCTTAGGACCTATGTTTTACCCAGATCCTATGTTCTTTGTATTAATATAGATGGTCTCAGATGCTTCTATCAACAGATGATTTAAAGAATTATAGAATCCATTCCCTGGCAGGTTTGGCTCGGCAATTGGAGCATCGGCCTGCAGACCAATGAGTCACAGGTTTAATTCCGGTCAGGGGCACGTGCCTCGGTTGGTGCCTAGGTTGCGATTCGTCTTGGTCCTGGTCAGGGTCACGTGGGACACGACCAGTCATTGTGTCTCTTTTGCATCGATGTTTATCTCTCTCTCCCTCCCTTTCTCTCTCTTCCTCCCTCCCACTCTATCTGTAGATAAAGAAAAAAAGTCTTTATACATTCAACAATAAATATAAGTTTAAAAAGGAAAAAAGAAAAAGAGTGTCCTTGGTGAGGATTGAAAAAAAAAAGAATTATAGAATCCAGTCCCGCCAGTGTGGCTCAGTGGATTGAGTGTTGTCCCATGGACTGAGAGGTCCCGGTTCTATTCCTGGTCAGGGCACATGCCTGGTTTTCAGGCTCAGTCCCTAGTAGGGGGCGTGCAGGAGGCAGCTGATGGATGTCTCTCATATTGTTTCTCCCCTCCTTTCCTCTCTCTCTCTAAAAAAACCAATAAAAACATGTTTAAAAAAATTACAGAATCCTTCCTTCATAGGGCTACTACTCTATTGTTGTCTCCATTCTCTTAATAACAAAGAACTCATTTAATTAACTGCTATTATTCCATGTGAACTGTTAACTGCAAGTAAGGCAGATTATGTCTCTATCTTCTGGAAACAAAGTCTTTAGGCAAGTAATAGTGAGTCAGAGGGGGATGTGTAGGAAATGGAATGAATGTGTGCTTAGTTAAGATTTAAATTTGTATGTGATTCGTTCATTCAGTAGTCCTTGTTGAGCCACCTATTTGCTTAGTACTGTATGACTCATGGTCCCTGTTCTCATGGGGTCACAGGCAAGTGCAGGGGACAGGTGTTAATCATACCTGCCTATGACAGGGAATGGATTATATCACAGGTGTATTGAAGGCAGTGTTGGTAAGCTAAAAAGACCCTAAAGTAGACAGAGGCCTAAGGTTATAGCTGTGTGAGCCAGGAAGTTTCTCTCTCTGCTCAGCCTCTTTCTTTTCTTCTATAAAAGGACCAAGATTGAACCTGTTGGCTTCTTAGTTCCTTCCAGTTTATCACATCTTTGAACTATGATTTAACAAAGGTACTTTCAAGAAGTCAGGAGGCAGAGCAGAAAGTACCATTCTTTTGTGTGAATTGAGTATTGAGTAATACTAAATGTTCCATTTATTATCTCTGTACACTTAGAGTTCTGGCTAAAAAAGTCCATATTGACTGCCTTGGTCTACTGAGAAAAGCACACTATTACGTCAATATTTGGCATTTTAGCCAACTGGCTCACCATCTTTAGGTTACTCCGACATTTGGGATATTGGCTCCTCTTTGTTTTGTAACCTTAAACCACCAATCCCCTTGTTCCTAGTACCTGTATTTGGTATGTAAATTGGGAATAATAATGCAAAACTTTTTAATAAACTCACAGAGACACTGATTGAGCAAGGAAGCTGAATTTTATTTGTTTTGAGCATCTGCTATATGCCTGACACTGCTAGTGGAAGGTACAGACATGAATAAGAAGTGGTCACTGCTCTCAAGGAATGTATGGTTTAGTGGTGGAAAACAAAGGGTGAGTGTGTCTGTGCAACCGTTACAGGTGCTGTGATGGAAGTTTACGTAGGATTGTAGGTACAAGTGTAAGAGTAGTTAGTTCTGCTGGCTGGTGGGAAGAGAAACCAAGGGGGTAGCAGCATCCACTAGGGAGAAGAAATTAGGTTTCGAGTCAGACCTGGGTTTTCTGAATCTTGGTTTGCTATATATTAGCGTGTGACCTTGACTTCTTTTTTTTCCCCCAATCCTCACTCGAGGACATTTATTTTTTGTATTTATCTTCAGATGGAGTGGGATGGAGGGAGGGAGAAAGAGTGAGATGGGCACATCGACTGGTTGCCTCCTGCATGATCCCGACCAGGGCTGGGGATGAACTGCAACCAAGGTACATGCCCTTGACCGGAATCGAACCTGTGACTCTTTGGGCCTCGGGCTGATGTTCTAACCACTGAGAAACCGGCCAGGGAGACCTTGACTACTTTTAGCCTGGATTGCCTCACTTATATACAGGAAATAAGTAGTAAAACGGTCAACTCGAGTGTGGACTTGTATAGTGTATGTGTGCATGATAAAATTCTGTCTATGAGCTCTAGGGCAAGGTCATGTTCCTGAATAAAGTAGGTGTTAGGCCACTTGTAATCACTACACAAGATGTTTTATTTGAAGTTAGATCTCAGATTAAATCCAAACAGGGATCAGCAGCCTTTCAAAGGTGTGCCAACTTGGCAGCCTGTGAGTCCTGGCAGATCAGGTGTCTCTTATATGCAAAGGCAACTGTGGTAGTGGAGGAGGTGGCAGGAAACCAGTGGCCCAACTCATTCTCACCTTGACTGGCAGCAGCAGTGATTTGAATATCCCAGCTTACCTGTGCCCTCAGGAATGGGAACGCAGTAGAGGTGTGTCTTATTTCTGACCTTTTTTCCTTTTCTCCCTTTCACCAGATTCTATCATGTGGGCAACCTGCTGCAACTGGTTCTGCCTGGATGGACAGCCTGAGGAGGCCCCACCACCCCAGGGAGCCAGGGCGCAAGCCTATTCCAACCCTGGGTACAGCTCCTTTCCTTCCCCAACAGGCTCAGAACCAAGCTGCAAGACCTGTGGGGCCCACTTTGCAAACATGGCCAGGAAGGTGAGTGTTGACTTCTCGGCGTACTACAACCTCAGGCCCTTGGGCCAGCTCATTGACCTTTCTGTCATACCTCCTGCCTTGCTTTTGCTTATGCAGTGCCAGTAACCTAGACCCATTTCTTTCACAGATGTAATAAAGGAGAAACTAACTAAGCAAAATCAAAGCATCTCAGCATTGATTTGAGCCGACTAGACCTGAATTTAGATAGCAGCTTTGCCACTTACTAGCTGTGTGATTTAACCTTTGAGATTCATTTCCCCCATTTATTAAATAGGGATATAATAGTTGTACCCATCTCACAGTGTTCTGAAAATAAGATGAGATAAGCTGCCCAGCCGGTGTGGCTCAGTGGTTGAGCATCCACCCATGCACCAAGAGGTTGCCGGTTCAATTCCTGGGCAAAGCTGCTATGCCCAAGTTGTGGGCCCAGTCCCCAGTGGGGGGCATGCAGGAGGTGGCCAATTGATGTTCTCTCTCATTGATGTTTTTTTCTCTCTCTCCCTCTCCCTTCCTCTCTCAAAAATCAATAAAGAAAAAGAGAGAGAGAGAGAGATAAGCTACAAAGGGTGCCTAGTACAGTGCCTGGAATGTAGTAGGCACTCCATGTTATTTCCTTTATTAGCTGCCGTCATAAAGAGACTGACTGCAGATTAACTTGTTCATTTTATTGAAAGCAATGTCAAGGACGTCTTAGGTACATCAAGACCCTAACAACATAGACTGGCGTTTATGTACTGTAGCGATTTCATTTGAAATGCTTGGTGGCTATGTTTTTCAGATTAGCGAGCAGGAAGGAAACTTACTGGCTGGGTAATGGTGTGTGGGTGTGTGCCCTCCCTTTGTTAGCTCCCAGAGGCAGTGTGTTCTCTGGTCAAGCACCACTAGGGCTAACAGTGAACCCTGACCTGGAGAAAGAACTGCATTCTGCATTCCTCTATTGACCGAGAGGTTTGCAGCCCAGAATGGGATGCTAAAGTGGTGATAATGGGAAGTTTGAGAGGAAAAAACGCTTTTTAAATCATCTGCTGTATGCTGGGGACTGTTTTAAGCCTTTTAGGTTTGTTTCATTTAATCCTCACAATAACTCTCTGATGTAGGTTTTAGGGTTCCTAAACTCCCATTTTATGAGAAACTAAGGTTTAGAGTTTAACAGGTAAAAGGAAACTATAAAAACAGCCTGGCTGGTGTGGCTCAGTGGTTGAGTGTCGACCCATGCACTAAGAGGTCACCGGTTGGATTCCCGGTCAAGGCACATGCCCAGGTTGTGGGCCCAATCCCCAGTGGGAGGCAGCCAGGAGGCGGCCATTTGATGTTCTCTTTCATCAATTTTTCTAGCTCTCTCTCCCTCTTCCTTTCTCTCTCTCTAAAATCAATAAAGAAAAAAAAAATTAAAAGAAAACTATGTGTCAAGTCCCTGACAAAATAGCAAAAGAGACATTAAGCCCTGGCCGGTTTGGCTCAGTGGTTAGAGCGTCAGCCCGCGGACCAGAGAGACCCGGTTCATTTCCCACTAAGGGAACATACCTTGGTTGCAATTTGTTCCCGGCCCTGGTTGGGGTCATGTGGGTGGCAACCAATCGATGTCTCTCTCTCACATTGATGTTTCTCTGTCTATCTCTTTCTCTCTCCCTCTCCCCCTTCTGCTCTATCTGAAGATAAATGCAAGAGTGTCCTTGGGTGAGAATAAAAAAAAGAGAGACATTAAAATATTTATTCTCTTCCTTCTCCTTAGGTAGCACCTCAAGATCCCATAGTTATTAAATGGCAGAGTCAGGCTTCAAACCCAGGTCTTTGACTCTTAAGCTATCTCCCAGAAGACATTGAACATGTCAGAACTTCTGCAGCTTGAAGTGTTGACCTACCTACTCTTTGTTTTTAAGATGATGGAGGAGGCTTGGCATTGTACCTTGTAGGTTGTATTGTGCTGGATGTATTGGGCACGTGGCAGAGCTTTGTTGTGATTGGCTTGGCTACCCCAGGCACTCTGAGAACTTGACCTGAGAGGCTGCTGCAGCTGGGCAGGGAGTTGTGGCTCTGTTGGCAGAGGTGCTGTCCCTTTTATACTTAGACGGAAGATTGAGTCAATAGATTGAGACTGAAGTGAAGAATAGGAGGGACTCAGGGGCCACATGGCCTCAATATTTCTGGTGATGGAGATGGTGGGGTGGAGTTAGGATCCGAGATGAGATGGAAGGAGGGCTGTAGGGTACTTGTCACATGCCTGGCACGGAGTTTGGCATTTCAAATGCCTTATCTTCATCAAATCCTTACAAAAGGCTATGAAATCTGTACTTATTTGTTCCTGTTTTACAGAAGAACAATTTCTCTCTCTCTGTTAGCTCTTGAAAAGTGTGGGGTTAACGCTGACCCCTCCCCCCACCACAGTCATACATTCATGTATAATTTTTGACTCTCTAAAAACTTAACTACAGTTTTTCAATGTCTGAGGGACATTATGACCCCTTTAAAAAAATGTTAGTTAGCCCTGGCCAGTTTGGCTCAGCAGTTGTAGCTTTGGCCTGTGGACTAATGTGTCGCAGGTTCAATTCTGGTCAAGGGCACGTGCCTTGGTTGCGGTTCATCCCGGGCCCTGGTTGGGATCATGCGGAAGGCAACCAATCAATGTTTCTCTCTTTCTCTCTCCCTTCCTCCCTACCTCCCACTCTATCTGATGATAAATGGAAAAATATCCTCGGGTAAAAAATTTAAAAAAAGTGTTAATTATATTCTGTGAAGGGAAATGGAGAGAAAAAGGGTGAAGAAGAGAGTGGTGGTGATCCAGGCTCGGGATCAGCATGTCAAGCATGTTGAAACTTGGGAGAACCAGGGTATCTAGCGAGTTCTTGACATTTCTGAGTCAGAAGAGAGAATATAAGTGAGCGAGGAAACCTCCCCCAGAGGCAGGAGCATGATGGTTGGTTAGGTGAGAAAGGGAAGATGCTTTATTTTTCTTTCTTTTTTTTTTTTGTGGTACGTGCCCCTAGTGGGAACTGAACCCAGGACTCTCTGGTCCGCAGGCCGATGCTCAACCACTGAGCCAAACTGGCCAGGCCTTTTCCTCCCTCCCTCCCTCCCTCCCTCCCTTCCTTCCTTCCTCTTTTCTTTTCTTTTCTTTTCTTTTCTTTTCTTTTCTTTTCTTTTCTTTTCTTTTCTTTTCTTTTCTTTTCTTTTCTTTTCTCAGGTAGAGTGGGAGGGAGAGAGAGGAACAGAGAGAGAGAGAGAAACATCCATGTGAAGGGACACATCGAGTGGCTGCCACCCGCACAACCAACCAGGGCCGGGGACAAACTGCAACCGAGGTATGCGCCCTCAGCGGGAACCGAACCCGGGTCTCTCAGGACCGCAGGCCGACACTCTAACCGCTGAGCCAAACCGGCCAGGGCTTTTTCTTTATGGTGGTTATCACTACCTGGCATAAATATGTTTTAGGGTTGCCTGTCTTCCCAGCTAAGTACATAGGAACAAAGATTTTGTCAATTAAAAAAAATTTTTTTTGTTGTTAATCCTCACCGGAATATATTTTTCCATTGATTTTCAGATAGAGTGGGAGGGAAGGAGGGAGGGAGGGGGGGGAGAGAGAGAGAGAGAGAGAGAGAGACAGACAGAGAGAGAGAGAGAGAGAGAGAGAATATGATCTATGAGAGAGACACATCGATTGGTTGCCTTCTGCACAACCCCGACTGGGGCCAGGGATCGAACCTGCGACCTAAATACATGCCCATGACTGGGAATTGAACCCTCAACTCTTCGTGTCTGTGCGCTGATGCTCTAACTGCTGAGCCAAACCAGCCAGAGCATTTTTGTCAGTTTGTATCTCCAGTGACCAACATATAGTAGATAGGCAATAAAAAATTTTAAATAAATGAATGAATGAGTGGACAATTGAGAATAATTTGAAAAAGAGAAAGTAGACTAGATAATATTTTGTGGCTGACAATTCCATGCTGAAATGTACTCACAGCCAGCTAGCAGCTGGTGGTTCTAGCTTTGTGAAGACAGAGCTGAGGAAGGCCTTGGCCTTTCCTTCAGGTGCTTACTGTCTGGTTAAGGAGGTCCACATTGACAAAGAACTGCTAACAGTCAGCTGAGTAAGGTAAGCACTGAGGAATCAGCCATTGTTGGTCAATTGATTGTTCTAGCTCATCATTTGAGGAAGGTTATTGATTTGCAGAGCAGTGACTGAAGTGAAGGCACCAGATGTGGGGCAAGTGCAAGGCATATTTGGGAATTGTGAATGGCCTGTTTGGCCAGAGTGCAGGATATGGGAAGTTAGGGTAGAACAAAGTTGGGATTAGGTGGTGAAGAGCCATGACTGCCATAGTAAGGAGCTTGAAGCCACCAGAGAAGGAACTATCAGAAAGACTTAAACAAAGGAAGACCTGATCAGTCCTGTTTCAGGTAGTAGACATGGCTTCACTAGTGTTGCACACTTGACACCTGGTGAGAAGTTATCAGAACCTGGACCAGACTGAGACTGATTGATAGAGCTGCCATTTAGTGAGCACCTCGTCATTCTATACTCTGAAGTACTGCTTGTTAACCCATTTTACAAAGTATAGGAGATGCAGAGATACCAAGTTACTTGGCTACTAAGATAGCGTGTGTATGGCATATGAAGGCAGATGAAAAGTAAGGGGCAAGGTCAACTTGAAGCTGATAGAATATTGGCCTGGGTGCCTAGGAGCATGGCAAATGATTAAAATAAGGAACTTTCCCCCTATTTGTTGGAAAATAAATTATTGAATATCTACTGTGTGTCAGGCATTGCCTGGGTTAGAAAGGCAGAGATGAAGTAAGTCATCCCTGCTTAACAGAGAGCGGTCTGACAGGAAGGTGAGTGCAAATACATAGCCATGCAGACATAAGAAGAAAGCAGAAGCAAGAACAGCTTTTGAGGGGGGCAAGTTCTAGTTTGGATGGTAAAAGATGGTTATTGTTGCAATATTTTCTTGCTACAAAAGTAGGAAATAATTTTGTGTGATTCACAGCGAATTTTGTGAATATTAAGGATGTTTTTCTTCTATTAGAATTTTTCATTTGTAATTTCATGCTTAAGTGGATCAGCATTCTTACTGGAAGGGTTTGGCATTTAACAGCCATGGGCTTTTTAAATGTCTTTGCTAGAAGCAGTCGAATTGAAATGCTTACATGGGTCCTACTACCTTTTTTCTTTTCTTTGTGTGGTCAATATTTTCTGAATGCTTACTCGGTACAAAGCACAGATAGCATTAAGGCTTTATAGAGAGAACATAAGTAAGATGTATCTGCTGTCTTCCTAGAGGTTCTATCTTGTAGAGAAGTGGCCAAATATCCCATCTGTATTGGTAATACCTACGGTGGTTCAGCAGCAGCCCTGACATTCTGTAGCGAGGTTGCCATTCAGTCTTTTTAGTTGGACCAGTTGGAGGGGGAGGGGAGGGGGAGGGGGAGGGAGAGGGGGAGGTGTTTGTGTTAGGAAACATACGAGGTATTCAAATCTGAGTGGAAAGAGGGTGGTTCCTAGGTGCTGGCAAAATCTCAGAGATGAGGCTAAGGGGAAAGAGAATAAAAGATGACTGTGGCACCTATTTGTGAGTATACCACCTTATGCTAAGATTTAATATACATTATCTCATGTGATACTTCCAGTAGTCCTTAGACTGACTGACTACCTGATTTTACAGGTGAGGAATCTGATTCTCTGGGAGGTTATCTGCTCTGCACCTGTTCCCGTAGCTAGGAAGTGGCCAGCCAGGACATATCCTGATTGTGCCACTCCTCTGGCTGCCCTTTCCCCTCTCAGTAGGCTGCAGCAGGGAATGCCTGTCGGGAGGACAGTGAGGATGAGGGGCTGGGAGAGGGAGAAAGGGGGCCTTGCCTGTTCCTGGGAATATGGGTGGGAAGGGGAAAGAATAAGCAATAAAGGGATGGCAGATTAGGAAAGGAGAACAACCCACCTGGCATCCCTGAGGGCAGTGCCTGCCTGAGGTGCCACTGACACCTTTTTAAAGAATTCTTTCTTTAAAAATTTTTATTTATTTATTTTATTTTAGAGAGGGAGAGATAGGAACATCCATGAGAGCTAAACATCTGTCGGCTGCCTCCTGTTCGCCTCCCACCAGGGATCAAGCCAGCAACCCGGGCATGTACCCTGACTGGGAATCGAGTTGGTGACCTCTCAGTGCATGGGAAGACCCTCAACCAGCTGATCCACACCAGCCAGGGCTACTGCCAGCTCTTTTGATGCTGGATGTGTGTGTGTTCTCTTGGCATTATGCAGGCATGTTGGCTCCACTAATTCATCTTTCATGCTACTTTGTTAGTCAGTTTGCATCTTTTGCTAGAATTTATACCTGCATGATTCTTTTGCTCATTCTGCCCACATTTGTTGAAGGGCAGCAGTATTTCCTTTTCCTTTGTTCTCTCCTGCCTCTGCAGACTGGGATTTTAGCCTAGAGCTCTATCTTTCTCCTTTAGGGTGTGTTTCAGATGCAGGCTGATTTCAGAGCCCCTCTTGGGGTCGGGGGTGGGGTAGGGATAGAGGTTGGGTTGCTGTCTTTGCATTCTGGTCTACACCCAATAAATCACAACCACTTGAAGAAAGAATAGAGCATTGTTTAGGTCTAACTGATTGAGCAGTTCAGGGCTTTTTAATTGTGTCAAGCTAGGTCTTGTCAAACTGCATTGACTTAGTAATGTTCCATGTCAGGACCTACAACGTTGTGACATCGGGGCCTCTTCCTATCAGTCATCATAAACACATTTTATATTCCAATAGAAAAGCTTCAGATATGAAAGAACCCCCCAAACCCAGACATCCATTTTCCACCCGAGTAGCTATTGGTCCCAGACCGTCTAGATGCTAGTGCAGCCGTCCTTTGAAGTCAGTTGCTGAACATTTTATTGTCTGGTTATAGAGAACAAGGGAGCTTGATATGTGTCCTTTTGCAATGCCTTCTAAGTATTAATAGTCAGAACTGGGTGGTAAACATTATTCCCATTTCTCTTTACTACACGAATGACACTTAGCACTAAATATAACCATCTCAGCTATGCAGACTTGTACTTCAGCCCCACACAAGTTTCTGTGATGTTGACTGGGACAATCTAAGTCTCTTGGGCATTCTTGTTGGCTTGAATCACTTTCTATACTTAGAAAAAAAGGAGCAGAAATATTTAGGTTAATACTTAAGTCACCAAAGGATGAAAAGTTTTTTATTTCTTTAAATGATTAGTGAGCGTACCCTCCAGGATCATCCCAGTGTATTCTGGAAGTACTTATCCTGTGGAAATGTGACCCACTCTTGGCTGCAGCAGAGCTCAGTCAGATGTCACTGTGCTCACTCAGCTGTGGGGCGAGAGGCTGACGATTTGCTTCCCATGAGTTGAGCAAGCCATCATGTATTGTGTTTTCTGTGATTGTGGGAGTTGCTGCTGCCAGGCGGTACCAGCTTTCCTGCCAGGCCCTCTTGTTGCCCTTCTGAGACACTCTGTACTTTTCACAAACAAGAACTCCCTAAATTGTGTCCAGAGGACCTCCTATAGCTATCTAAATATTTGTCTTGGGTGTGCTGTTCTACACCACTGAATTCCCAGCACTCTGAGAGGGCCTTCCTGGGGTGGGGGAGCCTGGGCACCAGCCTCTGGATGGCGCACTGAGTTGGGAGTTTGGAGATAGAGAGCCAGGCCCTTGACTCAGTACTGCTTTTGGCTTGAATGAGACTGAGTTAGGCAACATGCACTGGTGGAAAGAGCATGGCTGTGGGCATTAAACTCAGACAGACTTTGAGTATGATGAACCCTAGCTCTGCTGTTTATTGCTTGCCCTTGAATATGGTACTTGTAACTCTCAGCCTCAGTTGCTTTGTCTGTGAAACAGAGAGGTACATGAATACCTACTTTGCAGGGTTTGCTTTGAAAATTAAATGACAAACTAGGTATAGTATATAGTGACCCCTCAATAAATTTAATTAATAATAGTAAAAACAACCACCACCGCAACCTTTATACAGTTGCTTTCTTATCTCAGCAGTCAACTACAAAGAATCATAGTTGCCCTGGCCGGTTTGGCTCAGCGGTTAGAGTGTCGGCCTGCGGTCCAGAGAGACCCGAGTTTGGTTCCCGCTAAAGGCGCGTGCCTCGATTGCAGTTTGTCCCCTGCCCTGATTGGTCGTGCGTGTGGCAGCCACTCAGTGTGTCCCTTTCACATTGATGTTTCTCTCTCTCTCCCCCTCCCACTCTGTCTGAACAAAAAATGGGAGAATGTCCTTGGGTGAGGATTTAAAAAGAATCATAGTTCAGGATTTTAATCTGCCTCTCATCATTACCTCATATGTCCTAGCAATAATAATTAAAACAGTTAACACTTATTGTAGACGCCTGTGTCAGATATGCTAAATGTATTATCTCTTAACTTTATAACAACCCTGTGAAGTAGATACTGTTACCACCTCCATTTTATAGATGAGGAAACTGAGGGCCAGAGAAGCTAAGTTACACACCCAAGGTGACACCACAAGAAGTGAAGGAGGGAGACAATAAAAATGTAGGGATTTTTTTAAAAAGAATAATTTATTGACTTTTTTAGAGAGAGAGGAAAGGAGAAAAAAAACATTGATGTGAGTGACATAGATCAGCTGCCTTCTGCATGTGCCCTACTGGGGATCAAGCCCACAACCTGGGCATGTGCCCTAACTGGAAATTGAACTTGAACGTCTCAGTCCATGGAACGTTATTCAATCCACTGAGCCACACTGGTTGGAAACCTCTCCGTGCACAGGAAGTTGCCCAACCCATTGAGCCATACCCGCCAGGGCAAAATGTAGGGATTTTTTATTCTTTTAAAAAAATATATTTTTCTCTATTAATTTTTTTTTTTTTTCAGAGAGAGGGGAAGGGAGAAGGAGAGAGATAGAAACATCTATGTGAGAGCCCTGGCCGATTTCGCTCAGCGGTTAGAGCGTCGGCCTGTGGTCCAGAGAGACCTGGGTTCGGTTTCCACTAAGGGCACGTACCTCGGTTGCAGTTAGTCCCCGGCCCTGGTTGGTTGTGCGGGTGGCAGCCACTCGTTGTGTCCCTTTCACGTCGATGTTTCTCTCTCTCTCTCTCTCTTCCTCTCTCCCTCCCACTCTATCTGAACAAAAAATGGAAAAATGTCCTTGGGTGAGGATAAAAAAAAAAAGAAACATCCATGTGAGAGAGAAACATCGATCAGCTGCCTCCTGCATGCCCCAACCAGGGACTGAGCCCATAACCCAGGCATGTGCTCTGACCAGGATTTGAACCAGGATCTTAGTCCATGGGACATTGTTCAATCCACTGAGCCACACCATCTGGGCAAGGGATTTTTTATTCTAAACCTGGTAGTCTTAGTTAATAGCCTCCATTTTTTTATCAGTAAAATAAATAAAGCCTCACATGGGATAATAAATGTAGTGTCCTGTACACAGATACACAGATGCATACAGAGGGCCTGCCACCTGAGTGGCTTTTAACCTAAAATCTGCAAGTTAGCTTGTATCCTTAGGTATAGGAGGTAGCTTAGTTAAAGAGTGATTGGCAGTCTCGCTAGGCTTGGCAGCCCTAAGCTCCCAGCCCACTCTGTCTTATTCTCACAATTTGATGTGGTTTCCTCTGCCTCTTGCTCTAAGCAGCAGACCTGCCTGGACTGTAAGAAAAATTTCTGCATGACTTGTTCGAGCCAAGTAGGAAATGGGCCCCGCCTCTGCCTTCTCTGCCAACGATTCCGAGCAACAGCCTTTCAGCGAGAGGAGCTCATGAAGATGAAGGTGAAGGACCTGCGGGACTATCTCAACCTCCATGACATCTCTACTGAAATGTGCCGGGAAAAAGAGGAGCTGGTGTTCTTGGTGCTTGGCCAGCAGCCTGTAATCTCCCAGGAGGGCAGGACTCATGCTCCCACCTTTCCCCCCGACTTCCCTGAGCAGCAGGCCTTCCTGACTCAGCCTCATGCCAGCACAATATCTCCTACCTCATCCAGCCTCCCTTCTTCATCCACACAGGCCACTCCTCTTCCCGCAACCCAGGCTCAGGAAAATCAGCAGGTACAGCTCCTTCGCAGTCTCTGCCCACTGGAGGGCTCGTTTCCTCTCCTGCCTGCATCGTGGGAGTGGGGGGTGAGCTTAAGAGTCTTGCTTACGTGAAACGTTTCTGCCTGCTGATGCATGAGTGGTGTTTCCTGACATCATACTCAGGTTTTGGCTTTTTTCAGAGATAAGAATGCACAGTACCAGGTTTTTTGTTCAATACATAACATATCCCAGTTACATAGTTTTAAAAAAATTCATTGTTCCAGAAATATTTTGAGAAGACTCAGTTACCTCTCAGTTCAGTTCAAATTGCCTTCCCACTTACTCACCTTTGTTGTGGTCTGTCTTAGCTGGATGGGGAACTCGGTTCCTTAGTAACCATCCTAAGGCACATGGGGGAAAAAGGAACATGTGGAGGGGAGGAACAGTAGGGAAATACCTTGACCAAGACAAAGGCGCTGCTTCTCTCGCCAGTTTGGGCAGCCACTGCTGGCATAGTATTGAACAGTAGCTGCCTTCTCATAATGCCAGTGGGGCCTGGAAATGGTAAGTCAAGAGCAGCCCATTGATTGAGTTTATGAACAAGGCGTGGCAACTACAGAGATGAGTAATACACTGCCTCTGCTCTCAGAAAGCCTAAGAGGGAAGGTAGACACACAAACCAGCTGTTGGGTAAGAGTGCACCAGTGGACTTAACCATGTGTAAGGAGCGATGGTGTCCTGTAGTTGTACTTTAGTGCCTTAGGAGGATTAGGACCTAGAAGATCCATTCTGTTTCCACATCCACTTTGTCACTGACTCTTTGAACACCTTGGATGAACTTTGAGCCTTCAACAATGAAATGAGGTCAGTAATCCCAGGCTACTTTTGTTCTCGCAAGGATGTTGGGAGGATTGACTAGTGTGGTTTTGGGTCCAAAGAGCTCTGAGCTATTTAGAGCTGTCATCGTACTCATGTTGTCAGTTCCCACAAGGGGTGTGGAGGTTGCTACCTGTGGGTGATCACCTCCTTTGCCAGGACTGGGCCCCCTGATTCAGCTCTGATGGGCACTGAGGCATAAAGGCCAGTGTGATAGCATACTTTACCTCCACTCATGTACTCCTTCATTGGCTTGAGCATGCTTTCTCCCCAGCTGGAGTTTAACTCTTTCCTCAGCTCTGGCTCTGTCTGTTGGAGACACCTTTACCTCCTGTGATGACTTCCTCCCTTTGCTCAGTTGAGCACACCTCTCTGTTTATGGGGAGCTAGGAGAGTAACTGGGGGAAATTGTTTTTCCCTGCAGAACCTTCAGGTGAGTTTTTTATTGAAAGGAGGAGTAGGTTTTAAGCTTTTGTCGTTAACCAGAGATTTTCAGACTGCACCTAAAGGTCACTGTATTACCAGATGTAATTGGGTACTTCTCTGATCTCTGACGTTTTCAGAGGGCCTTCACGTCAGCTCACATGCCCTTTTCTGGTGAGAACTACATTTTTCAAGCCAGAAAAAGAGACATGGGGAAGTTAAGTAATTTGTGTAAGACCACCTGACAATTCTATACATGAGCTGATCTAGAATGCACATCTTCTCCTAGCGCTTGCTCCACCATGTTCTTTCCTTTACCTTTAATGCTGTGACTATAATTGCTAGGGAAGGAAGTGTGTGGAATAAGCAAAACTGTGGACAGATGCTAGCTATAGATTTTGATTTAGTCAGTGGGCAAAGACAACATGCTTTGCAGCATGAGATCCAGTTTCTCTTTCCAAGAAAAAAGGGCTTACAAAAGCTGTCTATTTAGGAACAGGTTAGGCTCTGAAAGACTTTTTGCAATTACAAGTGACACCAGGAAGCCAGTCTGTACCACATCTGCGTAAAACAGGGAACATGAGAGGTGTATAAAGACATTACTTTGGGTGTCTCCCCTACCTCTTATGCTATACATGTGATCTGACTCTCATTTAGCATTTTTGGTGGTAGTGGTAGTTTCTGCTTTCATTTCCACTATAGTTGCTTGCTGCTGCTTAATTAGCTCCATATGTGTATCCGAATTTGGGATGAGTGGCTGGGGCCAGCGGTGACTGGTTTCCTAGGTTGTCCATTTGCTATGCTCTGAGACACTACTGGAAAAGGCCTGTGAGCTCAGACACCTCTTTGCTGTGGGCCTACAGGAGGCCCTTCGCCTGGGGGGAGCAGTGGGTGAAGAGGGTCTAGTTAAGGTGCTTATGGCTTAAATGGTGATGGGGTCAGGAGGCTCATAGTGCTGAGTACTGTGCTCTCTGGCAAAACCTGAAGGAGTACCTGGGAGGAACCTTTAGAGGAGTTAGAATTCTAAGCAGAATGAACCTTTTTTTTTTATCCTCACCCGAGGATATTTTTCCATTTTTTTGTACAGATAGAGTGGGAGGGAGAGAGAGGAAGGGAGAGAGAGAGAAACATCGATGTGAAGGGACACATCGAGTGGCTGCCACCCGCACGACCGACCAGGGCCGGGGACAAACTGCAACCAAAGTACGTGCCCTTAGCGGGAACCGAACCGCAGGCCGATGCTCTAACCGCTGAGCCAAACTGGCCAGGGCCAGAATGAACCTTTTTTAAAGCACAAATATTTGTCTTATGTAATCTTAGGCTAGTAGACTCTTAGATGCTTTAAACTAGTTTTTTGACCAGGTTTCATGATAGCTCCTAGTACTCCTGTACCCTGCTGGTTGGAGCACATTTCCAGAATGTGAGAGCAGTGACTGCCCAAAAGGGAGGGAACAGGGTGGTGAGGGGCTGGAAACTTTGTTTCATTTGGGCCAGTTGAGGAAGCCAGGGAGATTTAGTGTGGAGGGAGGGAAGACATGATATGAACAGTTTGAAAGAGAATAGTGGACACTGGTCCGAGGGACAGAACCAAGGATGGGGTGGAAATTACAAGAAGGGCAGTTTGAGGTAAATGTCAAGAAAAAATTCAGTGGCAATTTAGAGAGCAGTCTCCTACAGTGGACATGTGATTTTCCTTTCACTCAGAGTGTTGAAGCTGAGAGTAAATCGACGGTGAATGGGCCAATGCCATCCTGGTGGTGGGCAGAATTAATGCACTTGTTCTAGAGTTGAACTCTGTATTGTTTCTCTGCCTAACAAAATCAGTATTAGGGAGCAGGCCTTTGTCACACTGTTGTGGAGACTCCAGATTTCTGGGGGAGATGGGAGTCTGTTTGGGACATGGTGTGAACTCTGAAGAGGCCAATGCTCTGCAAATCCCTGGGAAATCTCTGTAGATGTGATGGCACCTTTCTCTTCCCACAGGCCAATGGCCATGTGTCTCAGGACCGAGAAGAACCCGTCTACCCAGAGAGCACAGCCAGAGCACCTGCTGAGGAGGAGACCCAGGTGGGGCCTCTGCTCGGGTCTGTGCCTTTGCCTTTGCCCTATCACTGGTGTTCTCAGGCTGTGGTTAGGAACCTCTCAATGGACTCTGAAATGGAGAGAGAAGAATCAGTCTGTGATGGTAGTCCTGAAATTCTGTTTAGGGGAAGAATTAGGTGTTAGTATTCCTTCGAAACTATCAGTGTGTTAGTGCAGAGTTGTGAGGTCAGAGTGGAGACTGGGGAGCCTCATGGCCCAGTAATTTCCAGTTTCTTGATTTTCTAAGAGCTGCCAGAGTGCAGGCTCCTGGTGCTACTGTGCAGGTCTTGTTGTTATTGTTCTTCTAGCACACAGTAGCCATTGTCGGGGAAGGAGGTCAGATAATCAGGAGGAAAGATGAGAGGGAGTCAGGCCTCAGCCATGGCAGGGCCAGTCCAGAGTACACAGCTATCAGGGCCATGGAGCTATGCCTACAGAGGATTGGTTGTCAGGGAAGTCTGCCTCTTCCTAGGGAAAGAGAACTCTGCAGTGGAGAGAGAGAAAGGCCAGCACCATGCTAGGTGGTTTCTTGTGCTGCCACATTCAGTCTCCACAGCAGCCCTGTGTGCTAGCACTGCTCTCCGTGCAGGGGCAGACGGCTCAGAGAGGGGAGCAGCCCTGTGTGCTAGCACTGTTCTCCGTGCAGGGGCAGACCGCTCAGAGAGGGGCGCAGCCCTGTGTGCTAGCACTGCTCTCCATGCAGGGGCAGACCGTTCAGAGAGGGGGGCAGACCGTTCAGAGAGGGGCGCAGCCCTGTGTGCTAGCACTGCTCTCCGTGCAGGGGCAGACCGCTCAGAGAGGGGAGCAGCCCTGTGTGCTAGCACTGCTCTCCGTGCAGGGGCAGATGGCTCAGAGAGGGGCGCAGCCCTGTGTGCTAGCACTGCTCTCCGTGCAGGGGCAGACCGTTCAGAGAGGGGCGCAGCCCTGTGTGCTAGCACTGCTCTCCATGCAGGGGCAGACGGCTCAGAGAGGGGAGCAGCCCTGTGTGCTAGCACTGCTCTCCGTGCAGGGGCAGACCGCTCAGAGAGGGGCGCAGCCCTGTGTGCTAGCACTGCTCTCCGTGCAGGGGCAGACGGCTCAGAGAGGGGAGCAGCTTGCCTGATATTATTTGCCATTAATCAGTGGAGGTGTTAGGATTCAAAATTAGGGTCATCTGACTCAAATTGGTGCTCCTCACATACACTGCTTGGTTTGTGGCTATTTGTGCCTGAGCACAGAACTGTCAGGAGGAGACAGGTCTGTTGTGCATTGCAAAGCACTTGCCTGGTAGTCTCCCTGACTCAGTTCCTACTTCTTGAGGTCAATCACCAGAAGTTTGGTGTGATGAGTGCTTTGGGGTCCTTGGAGAGAGAACTTGGGGAGGTAAGAGCTGAATCCACCAATCTCACCTTTGCCTTTTTAGTCTGTTGATTCAGAAGACAGCTTCGTCCCGGGCCGGAGGGCTTCTCTCTCTGACTTGACTGACCTGGAAGACATTGAAGGTCTGACTGTGCGGCAGCTGAAAGAGATTCTGGCTCGTAATTTCGTCAACTACAAGGGCTGCTGTGAGAAGTGGGAGCTGATGGAGAGGGTGACGCGGCTGTACAAGGACCAGAAAGGTCTCCAGCACCTGGGTGAGGGGGCCTCCAGCACCTGGGTGAGGGGCTGTCTGGGTGGCAGCTGCACAGAGTTCTGGAGTGCTGGCTGTCACTCTGCAGCATGACAGCATCTTCCAGGGAAGGGGTCACCTTACACATTTGCACCATCTAATAATAGCTGTCCTGTGGAGTTGAGTGCCAGGACTGAGTTGGGCATTGTATGCATTTATTTAATCATCACAGCAGCCTGTGAAATAGGCATTATTCATCCCAGATTTGAATTGAGGATTTCTTGGTCTAAGTTCATGGCCTTTCCCATTGTACGTCACCCCCACCACACTCACTACTGCCTCCAACAATACTTATTTAAACAGTTGGAAGATTAGGAAGAGAATCTTAGCACACATTGTGCAAGACTTTCTGCTTGACAGTACGTGGGCTTTTCCTTTTATTCATTTCCCAAAGCATCTACATGGTGTCATTTTCAGGCAATGCCCATTAAAGTATCTAGGTCTGTGCTCAAATGAGTTTGGGGAAAAAAGACTTGATATTATGTCCCCCTGTTACTGATTCATGGTAGTTACTATACTAGTAAAGGTGGAAAGTCCTGCAGAAGAGAAATGTGTTTAGCTATTTTGAACTCTATATGTCCTGAAATGATGTCGCTTGGAACCCTCCTCCCTCCCTTCCCCAAATGATTTAGTTCCCACAGATCCACATTTCGATTCCTTGAATGCTTACAGTAGTTGAAGTCAGATTTCAGGCCCTCCTCTCCCAGTAGCTCAAATTCATCCAAGTTAGGGGACATCTTACCTGATCAGACTCACTCTTCCCTTTGGGATTGTCTGCAGAATCTACCCTAGAGTTTTGAAGACACAGTGAATAGGAGATGGCTTCCCCTGGGAACTTCATGCAGACACCCTGGCTGACTGGAACAGACTGTTGCTTCTTTCTTGACTTAATGCTAGCTTTAAAAGTAGTAGGAGCTGATATTGTGCTTATGTGGCATCCTTTCTACTTGGCAGTTCTGTTCATGCAAACCAGTGGAGTCCCTATTCTAGACTAGACCAGGCACACCAGCAGGAGCTTTCTGTGTGTTCTCAGCATGTGCAGTGAGTGGGGAGGGCAGGTGTCTGTCTGGGCTCTTGGCCATCCTGGTTTCGGCAGGGAAACAGAGGTCAGAAACAAAGGCAGGGTGGTTGGAGATCCCTCATGTCATCACACATTCAGATATCTTTCTCTTTCCTTTTCAGTGTGTGCTGCCGAAGACCAAAATGGTATGTAGTTGTTTCTGTTTGGGAGTGCGCTTAGGCTCTTAATGAACTCTTCTGTCCTTCCCCTCCTTCAACCCCAATTCCTGCTAAACGTCCAAGAATTCTGAGCATATCGGTATCCACAGGGTGTGGAAAGAAACTGAGAACCAGGGCTTCTTGGCATCTTTTGAAATTCTCATTCTCATTCTCATTCTTTTCTCCCTGTAATGGGAGAAGAGGTGCAGCCTACCTGGGGGCAGACTTATTTTGCAGAGCTCAGAAGCCAGCATTTGTAAAAGATTTAACAAAGTGAGGGATGGCACGTGTCACATTTGGTTCATTTTTCATGCTGGTGCTAAGGCACTCCTTCCCCTACAGTTTGCCCTCAGTTCTGGTCTGTGTGTACCTTCAGGGAAATCACTTGGGATATTTAACAGCTTCTGGTACCAACCAAAAGGAAAGGGTGATGACCTGAGAGAGTCTAGTTTTTGTATAGGGCTGGGCAGTGCTAGAGCTGCTCTGGGGACAGCTCAAAAAGGTGTCACACATGGGCTCTCCAGGCACAAGATGCATATCCTACCCCAACTGCCACACACCCACCTGTGTGTTAAAGACCACCACTGAGCCTTTGAGTACTCCCAGAGTGCACTGCAGGAATTGGACGGGATCTGGGCACGTTCTAAAACACTATGGTACACCTTTTTAAAGCCTCAAGGCTATATGGTTGTGAGTTCTTCCCCAAGAGAGAACATTCTCAGAGTAGTGTAGGAGCCTGCAAAGCATTTTTAAACTTTCAAAAGATTCTCCAGGTTTGTTATTTAGTAAAATGATCTGTTGCTCAAAATGGAACAGAGTCTTCAGGCTGATAAATTATCAAGAGTTGAGCCCTTCTCAGTTCCCTCAAATCATTTGGAGTTCTAGAGCCACTCCCTCACCTTGATGCCAAGATAATTCATACTAATCCGCTTGGTGTCTTCCTTTCTTTTTCTGATTCCCTGGGAGAATGCTGGCAACTGAGTCAATGAGTTTATTATTATTCCTGAGAGAAGTACTCAGTGATGAAATTCTGTAAACTATTCCTGTTCACTTTAGGTATTTGTATAGTTCAGTCCTTTCTAAACCTTCCCTGTTAAGGCTAACAACTCCTCAGAAGGGTAAATAGGTTTCAGGACCTTTCACAGCCAGCCCACCTCAAGTGTTTTCTGACTTTTCGAATAGTCCAGAAAACAGGAAAAGAAAGTGCAGAAGCAACAGAGCAGGGAGCATTCCTCAGTGGAGTGGTAGAGTAACTGGTACGGTCCAGTTCCTGTTCATGGCTACCTGGTCAGGCTACCATTTAAAACATGCTGGCTGGGGTGGCTGGGTTTTTGGACATGCATATTTTTCTGTTTGTGTAACTAAACCTGGATACTGGCCATGCCCACTGTATTTCACCATTCAGACAAGATAGTGAGCTGTTATTTTTTATTATTATCATCTTTTTTAATCCTCACCTGAGGATATTTTTCCATTTATCATCAGATAGAGTGGGAGGGAGGGAGAAAGAAACATCGATGTGAGAGGGACACATCAACTGGTTGCCTCCTGCACGACCCCAACCAGGGCCAGGTATGTGTCCTTGACTGGAATCGAACCTGTGACTCATTGGTTCACAGGCTGATGCTCTAACTGCTAAGCCAAACCTGCCAGGGCAATGGTGAGCTGTTATTAAGAACTCTGTGCACTGAGCATTTACTACTATATTGGTAGTCCTTGCCCTTAGGCCACTTGCCCAGAAGGCACCTCCTGCCTGGATGTGGATCCTGGCTTCTCTGCTTAGCTGCTGTGTGCCTTGGGCAAGCCACTTGACCCTTTGGCCTTAGTTGCCTCATATGTAAAATGAGTAGTCAGAGAACATACTTCATAATTTTTGTGAAAATTCAATGAGTTAAAATATGCAGATCTCTCAGGACCTTGCCTGGTACCTGTAAGCATTCAGTAAGTGTGCGCTGTTATCATCCCCTTGGGAGATGTTTATTTATTAGACATTTCGAGAATACCTACCACATCACTGGCATTTTAGGGATCCAAAGATGAATATCTGACCCTAGAGCACAAAGCAGGTGCTAAACATATAATTGTAGAAATCGAATGAATTTGTTGAATTAAAGAACTCATAGTATATGCCCTGGGCTGGTTTGGCTCAGCCGTTAAGAGCGTTGGCCTGCGGACCAATGAGTTGCGGGTTTGATTCCAGTCAAGGGCACGTACTTCAGTTGCAGTTCGTCCCCTGCCCTGGTCGGGTCATGCAGGAGGCAACCAGTTGATGTGTCTCTCTCATATCAATGCCCCCCCAATCTGATGATAAATGGAAAAATATCCTCGGGTGAGGATTGAAAAGAAAAAGAGCTCATAGTATAGTGGGGGAGATAAGTAGGCAAATTCAAAAATTCTAATCCAATGTGGTGAACAGTCGTGGGGGTATGAATATAGTTCTGTGGGGATAGCACAGAAGAGGGAGCTATATAATCTCTGTTGGGCTCTTCCACCAGGAAGTTCTGAGGAAGCCTGGGGGTGGGGGAGGGGTTTGTGGGATAGCACAGGGGGACCCCTTGATTCTTGGCTTTATTAAATTGATAATGTTTACGGATAAGCTTTGTGATTCTTAATCATTCAATACAGTTCCGATTATTTTAAACTTTTCTGAACCATTTTTATCTTTTCAGCATGTTCTGCCTCGGGATAATGGTTCCTAAGTGCCATTCATTCACTGTATTTCAGTATCAATTGCCTGAAAAGTACTTCTTTTAAGCTTTGAGGACTTTACCTTATTTATTATTTAGTTCTCCTGTTCTAGGGTGTATTTGATGTACAGGTACTTTGTTCTTCAAATCTGTAACCTGACCTATGGAGGTGTGATGTAAAGCAACTGGAATTGGTACTGGAAAAGTGTTTTCTTGGAGATCTTTTTGAGGGGAAGTATGTGGATTTGGGGGTTTGTTCACAGTGTGCTTGTTCTCTCCCACTTCCACTCTCCCACTTCCACACACTTACTCTGCCCCTTTTCTGCCTTGTGTTTGTACAGGGGAAGCAGTGCCATCCAGCCTGGAGGAGAACCTGTGTAGGATCTGCATGGACTCTCCCATTGACTGTGTTCTACTGGAGTGTGGCCACATGGTAACCTGTACCAAGTGCGGCAAGCGCATGAATGAGTGTCCCATCTGCCGGCAATATGTGATCCGCGCTGTGCACGTCTTCCGATCCTGAGGGCTTGGTATCGGCTTCTTCAGTGCCTTACAGGGACACAGTGCGAGGTGTCTGGGCTCAGGGTTGACCAGCTTGCAGAGGGGCAGGCTAACAAGAAAATCTGCAGTGTCCCTAAGACCAAGGCAGAGATGCTCTCTCACCTCTGGGCATGCCTGTCTTGCCACGGAGGTGTACCTCTTGGCTGGCAGAGCCCAAGGCAGTGAGAATTGGTATAGATCGCTTGGGCATGTCCCTGTTTCAATGATCTTGGGTGATGATGGTAATTGATGAAGAGAGAGGACTTTCCAGAATGTGGACCGTATCTTCCTCCCTTCCTCCTGTACCCCACCTAACCCCCTGAGCTGACTGCCTGTGTTTCACCAATGAGGTCCTGGTAGAAATGGTTCTCTTTCTCCCCAGCACATTTGGATTTATTTCTGGTTTCACTGGCTTTCTGTGCTTTAACCTACTTTTGCTAAAGTTTCTTGCTATATTGCCTAAAATGCATTTGTTTCTTCAGACTGAAAAGATGTTGGCTTACCAGACCAATAATGACCCTCCTTAGCACGGAATTTGGACCAGTAAACTTATCTCTGATGAGAAATGAAACACAAATGCTATTGAAAAACTTCAGTTATTAAGAGTTGCTCCTGTCAGTGCTGGGTTTAGGAGCTGCTGCCAATCTCCCAACCTGGCCTTGGAGCCAACCAAGCGTCTGGTTCCCAAACTGCTGGGAAGTTCCAGTGTCTGTGAGATGGTGCATGGATCTTCTCTGCTTCTTCTCTGGGGCCTGACTTAGCTCCATCCTTAATTTTAGTTTGAGAAAAGGGAAAGTGTTGGGTTGAAGCAATGGCTTTTGCTTAACTTTGACTTCTCCGACAGACATGAGTTTTAAACCCATCTCCCCAGAGAATGAATCCTCTTTCCCATGTAGGTTTAAACACGGTTTCATTCAAGGCATAGAGATGTAGGCATAGGTTCTGGCTCTTCTCTAGCCAGACTTCTCATAAGTTCCTGGAGATCCATCATGTAAGACATGTAAGAGTACTTAAGAGGTATCAGAGGTACTGAATGAGGCTGGTTTCTGCCCTTGAGCAGACAGCTGGAAGTCTTAATTCCCCAAGTTGGTGGGGACTCCCTACTCCTATTTCCTTTCTATCTACTGACTTGGGGATAGGTGAGGAAGAAGCGTTCTCTAGGCCCTTTAGGAAGGACTGTGCAATGAGTAGGTCATGTTCTTGAGCCCTCTTAGTGTCTTCACACCACTGGAAGAGCCAAAGGGCTAAAGAAAAGTCTGCTGGCGCAGCTTGGCCAAGCACAAACATACATGTTATTAGAGGAGCTGCGTGTGCTCCCATTACCAATGGATGATCTATGCAAACCCTAAACACTGAGGGCCTTGGCAGACCCCCACCCCCCACCCTCTTCCACCCACCCCATGGTAAGAAGCAATCATGACTCAGAAAGTAGTGGGAGATGACCTATTTATCGGTACGGACATATTTATGCTTTTCCTTCATTATCAACCACTAATCCCCTTCAGGGAAACAAAATTTTATCAAGCAGTTGTCAGCTGAAGACCGGGCCATTTACTAAGTCCTGGATGATTTGATTCTGGGCCACAGCCTTTGTAGGAACTGGGGGTAATTGAGATTTCCCTGTGAAGACATCTATCTGCTGGACAGTAACTACTGTAGTTTACAATGCCTACCAGTTTGGCAAAGGATTTAGCTACTCCTCAATTCCACTGTGAAGCAGGTCTGTGCATATGCAATTCAGTTAAGGTCTTGCAATAACTTCAAGGTAGAAGCTGGCTCTCTTCCTACTTAAAACTTGCTTTTTCTGCCAATGCCTTACCTCTCCCTACCTCCCAATTTGCTTCTTAGACGAGTTAAAAATAATATCCTAATGGTTGATTAAGAACCTAAGAATTAGAACTGATGTCATTTACTCATTTTGGAGAAAGAACTTGCCTTTAAGCCTTCTAACCTCTCTTGGTGATGGTTTTCTTTAAAAAAGGTGTTAAACAACCCTGATTTTTTCCTTTTCTTTTTTTTTGTATCTTTTCTATTACACCAAATAAAAGTTGGGAATTCCCAAACCCCATTTCAGTTACTGTCTAACCTACGTAGAAAACTTGGCTTTTATCCTTTGATGCTCCTTCCAGTTCCTCATGGATCTTTTGTTGGTTTTAATCATCATGAAAACATATAATTCTTCCAATTATTCCTTGGCTTTTGCTGTGATTGTTTAGAAATTTCAGTTGAGACTTAAAAAAAAAGAAAGCTGACTGGTTCATAACGTTGGAATACTTGGATCCAAACTAGTAAGAATAAGCTGTACAGGAATTAGTGCTCAATATATATTGTATAAATTCGTTGAAATTTTTTGGATGTGAATATGTTACTTCAAATGGCTTATATTAAGATTCTCTGACTTGGGTGTTAATACAAACCCAAATGTGTATTTTTTGTTACAGAGCTCTGCTTTATAATTTTGTAATAAAGTTTCATTATAGATATCTGTCCTATCTGGTGTGAGGTTGCCAGAGGTCTGATAGTTAAGACTGACAAGAGTTGATAAACCACAGGCTGATCCCAGGTGTGTGCACACAGGTATGCTATTGAGTATCATTTTTGGAGATGCTTGGGTCATGTCATGTGGCTTTGGTCAAGGAGCCCTGTTCAACACACAAGGAAACTGAAGCTTGGTGGTGTTGTGACTTAAGATTTCACTACTATATGGGAGAGGCCATGGAACAGCCTAAATGAGGATGGGAACTGAGGAGAAAAAGGACCAATCAATCGTAAGACTAGATAGGAAGAAGCACTAAGTGAGTTTAGAGTTTAGACATTGACATGGATTTGGTAAGAGATGGGCCTTAAAGATGTATTTGGAGAGGAGTCTGAGGACAGCCAATGTGCCCAGTTAAGTCTTCAGGTGACCCTGAGAGGTGGATGGTAGCTTTTGGATATATGTGGTAGTTGGAGAACTGCTGAGGTCGGCCCAGCTTCATAGGCAGACTGCTGTGTGTACACAGGCCCATACATGCCTCATTGATCACATGCCCAGGGGAGGGGGCCTCTGAGCATGCAGCCTTTGGGAGAGCTAGATTATGCGCACTTCTGCCCTATGTCTGAGGAGAGACTTGTCCAAAGTGTGTTAAGGCTTGAGGCTGAGCCAAAGCCCTTTGTCCTCATTGTTCTGGGCTGTGACCCATTGAGCACCTGGGATGACCTGTCTGCTGTTATAAACAAAAGCCCAAAGTCTGTGGAAATACACAAAAAGATACAAAATCGTGTATATGGTATAATCTCAGCAGCCAAGAAAATCGTGTCAGAAAGAATGGAAGGAAATAGGCAAAACACCTTAGACAGTGAATTGAAGATCACACCCAGCAGAACCGCCCCTTTGCTGTGAGTTTGCACCTTGAGTGTAAGCGCCCTGTAAGGACAGGTGGGGCTGGGTCTAGGTCAGCGGGGCCAAAGGGCAGTATCAGTGTCCTCTGGCAGATTCTCAAGGGGACTGCCTTGTTCTGCTGCCTTGTCCAGTTTGGTCTGAGAAGGCTGGAGGGGGTGGAAGTTTATGTAGGTCAGTGCTCAGAGGAGGAGCAGCTTTTGTCTCCACTGAGGATAGAATAAAAAGAGTGTCTTATTCCTAGTACTTAAGCCAGACTGAATGGTGCCTATTCAAAACCGATGTCCTGAGCCAGAGATGGCAGTACCTCCCCCTCCTGCCCCTTCCTCCCAACACATTTTAACCAGCAGGTGGAAACCCAGGTCCATCAGGTTAAAGTTGGCCTCCAAGCTGACTGGCAAGCAGCCTCCCCATAGAGTACATTACCTTAGCTGAACACACCAGAGGGCTGGGGGAGATAGTGGTCTTCAATCTTATAGGTCCAGACACACATTCACCTACCTCACGGGAGGATACACAAGCCTGCTAATTTTTTAATGGGAACTGTCAGGAGTCAGCGGGCCTGAGAACACAGGAATCAGTGTGGCCACCTGAGGAGCCTGCATTCAGACCGAGTGTGAGATGTCCCACACAGATGGGGGCTGTGGAAGTGGAGAAAAGCCAGGACTCTCTCTGGTAGGGTCTGAACATGCATGCCATTGTGGATTCTCCCAACTCAGCTAGGCTGTGCTAAGTGCTTTACAGAACTTAACTTGAGTTCACGTATTCTCTCCAGCAACCCTATGATTTAGGTGCAGTTCCGATCCCCATTCCTTTTGGAGGAACGGAAGCTTAGATGTTGAAATTTGAGCTTAGCTTTGAACCAGGTCTGCACTATCCACTGTGGTAGGCACTAGCCACATTCTGCAGTTGTGTTGGCCACATTTCAAATGCTCAACAGCCAACGTGGCTAACTTGTATTAGCTAATTCAGATCTACAGCATGTTTCCACTGTGCAGAAAGTTGTACTGAACAGCACTTGTCTACACTACATTGTTTTCCTTTTATGCAAATAAATCAGCCTCGGTGGCACAGGGGTCTTTCTTTATAAGCAGGCTGTATAGATTTGTCCTCAGGTGGTTATACTAAAGAGCAGTCTTATTTCCAGATTTTGGGGAGGCAGATCCTCTTGGAGCATTGTATCCCCCAGAGGAGTAGCCCAAACAACCTTCTTTTTCTTCATAAGGGTCTCATTTCCCTACCTGATCCTGGGTTCCCTCCCTTCAAAGCAGACCCATACCCTGTAACAAGAAAACACAGACAAGTAATAAAATTCATTTTGTTTTCTTTCAAATGAGGCTTCATTCCTGGTAAAAAGGGCCAGGCTGAATACAAGGTCTGCCAATATAAGCAGCATTTCTGAGGGAGAGCAGTGTCAGAAACAACTTTAAAAGGAGTGTGGAAGTGAAGGGCAGGCAGGGAGGAGGAAGACTCCACTGGGCTGGCTCTGGGGACAGACCTCAGCAGCCCTGCCTTCACTTCACTCCGTAATCACTTGGGAAATTACAGGAGGTGGAACTGGGGGAAGACAGAGATAACCATAAGATATTTTATTTCAAAGAGGAAGAAAGGTTCCTTTTTAAAGAACAAAAAGACAAAACCAGCACCCAGATCTGAAAGATCTAAATAGACCAGTAGGAGAAAATGACTTCCCTGGTGGCACCCAGAGCACCTGACTCCTGGGCGGAGAGAGACCGTGCACGGGTGTGGGTTTTGGAAGACACAATTCTTGGAGAAGAAGTCCATCCCCGCCCGTTTCTGCCCCAGCCACAGGGAAGGGTAGGCCTGGAGGCAGAGGGAAGGCAGCAGTCCTAGCAGGGAGCTACCAGTCTTCGTTTCCGGATACATGCCCAAATCCACTCTGGGGAGATCTGCTGGGCCTCAGGGTTCTTGTCCCTGCTACCCAGCACATGTGTGGCTGAGGCCACATCAAATTCCTGTACCAGGTCCCCATCAAATGCCACAAAGTAGCGTCTGAGACGGCTGAAGTCTGGTGTGGAGGGCGGCAGGTAGAGCCGCACCCCAGTGAAGATGTCCAGCAGCACCTGCAAACGCACGCGGGTCAGGGTGGGGCCAGAAGTGGGGCTGATCCTGTGCTGGGGCAGGTGGGTCTCCATGCAGATGAGCACAGGCCAGAGGGCAGGGTTAGAACAAGAGCCGGAGACAGAGCCCAGCTAGCATCAGGACATGAGTAGAGTTTACTGGAGAAAAGGCACAGGTATAAACGCCCCTATCCTCCAGCCACTTGAGATCACACAGGACTAACACTCCCCTCCAACCCTGCCTAGAGGAAGGGGACAGGTCTCAGCACTGGAGCCTGGAGAAGGGAAAAACACATGTCTCCGAGAACATCAGTGGCTAGTGGGCAGGGATGTTGCTCCACCAAGCATCCCCTGCATACAGCTAGGCTGGGGCCAGGAGCCCAGCACATTACTGTGGTTGGATTCAAGGGCTCCAGGTAGGGAAAAGGCAGCCAAGGTTCTCAACAGGTTTGCTGGGGACAGGGTTTGGGGTCTGAGCTGCCAGACTTCTGTGCTTAGTCTGGGCTGACGGGGGAGAGGGGCATGACTGTACTTTATATAGTGACCAAACGTTTACTTCTCTGTCTGCCCTTTGGGCCATCAGCTCCCCACAGGTTGAGCCTAGTTACTGGTCTCAATGGGTGGCTGACAGCTGTAGTCAAAGGCGGAGGAAGTACAAAAGGAAAAAGGCTTCTCAGGTGAGAGGACAGCCACTGAGCCCAGGGCGTGGCCTCTCCCTCCTCGCTGGCCGAGCACAAACTCACACTGCTGCACTCCCATACCCAGACTGGGTTTCTCCCCTTTAATATAAAGTGTGCCTTGGGATCAGCGGCCGGGTGGTCCCTGCAGCCTCTCTTGGCTAGGCTGGGCTGTCTACCTCCTGCCTGCAGACACAGCTCTGCCCCTCTGCTCACTGGCCAGCTGCCTCTGCAAGGCAACAAGAGGGAACAGGGTAGAGCAGCCGCAGGAGGGGAGGAGGTTTGGCTGTTAGTCCTGAAAACATCTTTGATCATCTCAAAGTTCAAGTGCAGTGTTGGGAACATGAAGCCCTGGGCGGGAACACCCCCTTGGTGCATGCCTACTCTCTCACCTTTGCTTGGCATGGGGTCTCGTCTGAAGCCTTCCGCTTCTCCCCCACCTTCACGGAAGACTTCGTGACCAGCTTCTCTCCCGCTTTCACAGAAGGCTCTGCAGCCAGCTTGGGGCCTGCAGGAGAGAGCTCAGGATCAGAATGGAGAGGAGGGTAAGAGGAGCTGACAATGGACCCTGAAGTCAGGCAGCAGAGAGAGGGCCCGGCCTTCCTCTGCTCTGAGCATGGGTGAGAAGGGAGAGCTCAGGTAGTGCCCAGGTCAGATGGCTTTCCCAGAGTCCTGTCATCGGGTTTCCTGAGCAGATGGAGGGTGCCAGCAGCATGGATTCTGGCCCATGGCTGAACACCCAATAGGAATGCAGTCAATGTCAGCTGCATGGACAGAAGCACATGATCTGAGAGCTGGAATGGGAACCGGTCCCTGTCCTCTGATGTCTGTCCTCACAGTGCTTCCTCCCTTCTTACCACTTTTGCTGTTGGGGTGACTCGGCTTCCCTCCTGCCTTCTTGGCACTGGTAGAAGACTGCTTGGGGGAGGTTCTGGCCTTCTGAGACACAGCAGGCCCCGAGGCGCCCCCATTCTCTCCGCTGCTGCCCCCGGTAGTGGAGCTCCCCTCGTCTCCAGCCACTACAGTGAAGTCTGCCCTTTCCTTGGACAGCTGGTACAGTTCCTGCGGAGGGGAGGGACAATGGCAAGTGGTGTCAGACCTTTCTCAGCTGCTGGCCTCACAGGTGGTCTGTGTTGTCTGTTTTAGGCACACGTGGCTGGGGAACAAAAAGGGAAGACGGACAGAGAAAAGCTGCTTCCTTGGTGCTTTTCTAAACTGTGGCTGTTTCCTTGAGAAGCTAGTAAACATCACTGTTCTCCGTTCCCCAGCTCTTAACAACATGGAGACTAGCCTGGGGCAAGCCCTCAGCAGGAGGCTGTGAGACCAGGACCCAGGGCGCAGCCCCCAGCAGGCCTGATGCCTAGAGCTGCTGCTCCTGGCCCTGCAGCAGCTTGGTCTCCCTTCTAACAGCTCCCTGCGTCTCAATGGAATGGGGGAAAGGAGAAGACAGAGGACAGGCCAAACGCCCAAGGTTTCAAGGCTGGGACAGTGGGCAGAGGACACACATGCAGCTGGCACCTTAAGTTGGGGGAGGTTAGTGGCAGATTTCCAGTCCTTATCATCCCGGATTCGGGTGCAGCGAGGGAATCGGATGGAGATGCCGTCGGCTGTGTGAGCCTCCGATTTGGAGAACTCAGCCCCTGTGATCTCCCACACGGCAGCTCTCTGTCAGGAGCAAGGCAGGTCACTCACGGGTTAAGCAGTAGTACCTCCCAACCAGCTACAGTACAGGACGACTGAGACCCAAGCACTGGCTAACGGGCAGGAACTGGGTCAAGTATCACTGTTGCTGCTTCTGCTATGTGACCTTAGGGAAGCACTGTCTCTTCTTTGGGCCTCAGTTTCTCTTTCTGCAAGAAGGGATTCGGCCAGGTCACTTCTAGAGCAGAGCATCTGACTGGGGATGGGCAGTCTCTTTCCCTCTCTACTGAGGCTGCTTCCTTAGTGTTGACTGGCCATCTCTGTGCCTGTCACTTGTCTGAAAGTCCAGATCCCTGCGCCTAGTGGACTGTCAATGAGGTTGAGAAGGCCTCTCTGTGGCCCTAGAGAATTTCCAAGCTCATTGTGGGCTGAAGGACCGCAGGCACTGGGTTGATACCTTCGGGTCTGGGACGATGAAGTCAGGATAGTAGATCTTGTTGATTTTCAGCCAGCTGGGTATCTTGCTGGGATCCTGCAGGAGGAAAAAAAGATGTTGTCCTGGGCTGTTCCCAAGCCAAAACCAGACTCAAACCCCCTCTTGGTCACGGGACCATGAGAAGAGGTGCCAGTGCAGAAGGCTGACCCTCGCCAAGGGGCCCTCCCTGCCCAGAGCCGGTGTGGCCCATAGGGCGTGCAGCCTGGTTTCCACTGGACTTCGGAGGCCGAGCACTATTCCCGTGGCCAAGCAGCGCTCTCCTCTCTGGAGACAGATCAACGATACCTGCAGTCCCCCAAGTGCAGCCCTCACCTTGCTGATCTTCACCATGTCCAGCTCCTTCTGCAGGCGGGCCAGCGTCGCGTCGTCATGGCCGCCTGAACACTTGGTGACTGTGCACCACTTCTGGCTGCTGGGGTCGTAGCAGCCCATGAGGAAGATGGACATCATGCCACCTGGGGGGATGGGCTGAGCTGTGGTGGAGGGAGCCATCTCTGCCAGCCCCACAGCCCTGGGAGGCCGCCTGCTGGAGAGGAGGGGCTGGGCCTTGGCCTCAGCGCCAGAGCCAGAGCCCACCGCTCGGCTCCGCCTCGGACTGGCTATACAGGGTTAACCTTTACAAGCCCCCGTTTCCTCTTCAGTAAATTAGAGATATCACACAATCTGTTGGACTCTGGTGAGAAGTAAAAGCAAGTGGACAGTGCCGGGCATATAGCAGGTTCTAACAGTACTAGTTCCTCAGATCCCAGCTTCACCTCCAGCCTGGAAATAAATGGAGGTTTTCCCTGGGGAAAGCTGCCAGGCCCTGAACAGTTGGTGGTGAGTTTCTCTGTGCCAGGCGAACACAGGGTATTCTCGTCTGACTACCTCCTGCCTGTCTTTAGCTCTCAGGTGTTGCTGACTGCCTGGGGTGACATGGCTAGATTGGGGCCCCTGAGGCCAGAACTGTGGAAGTCACAATAGGCTTTGCTGGCAAATCAAGTCAGTAAAATGGCCAACGTGTACCCTGAGTGCTGCCTTTCAAAGAAGTATCATCCCAGGGACCAGAGCCCACCCTGACCTTTGCTCCCTTGCCCGTAGAAGGCCCCCAGGACCACCAGGTCAGCTGTGTCAGCCATGGCCCCCTCGTTCAAATAGTCTTTCTTCACTTTCAGCCAATGCCGCTTTCCAGGCTCGTATGTACCCTGAGGGGAAGCGAGAGAGAGACCAAGAACTACAATGGAAACTCCATGAGGGTGGGATTTACCTCTTCCCACAACATAACTGGACCTTCCACAGTGCCCGTCTCAATCCAGGGAAGAGCCCTTCGGCCCCGGGCACCACAGGAGACAACAGCAACCTGTTCTCGAGCTCCAACCCTGGAGAGATGCTGGCTCAGCACCCACCCCGAGCCCCTCAGACCACACTGCCACCTCCTGGCCAGGGCTGGAAAGGCTCAGCAGGAGGGCTCAGTGCGCAGGAGAAAGCCAAGGCTGCAGGTCTTACCTTTGCGTCCTTCAGCACCAGCCCTTCCAACCCCTCTCGGATCACCCGATTTATCATGTCAACCAAGTCTGAAGCTTTCTGAGGGATAACAGGAGAGATGTTGAAAATAGGAGGTGTGGGAATCGAGAAGGTGCATGGGAGTGAGGTGGAGGTGGTTCCTTTTCGCCCACTACTAAAGTGCCCACTGGAAATACCCAGACTTGAATACAAAGAACAAAGGGCTTGCAAAGCAGGGTCCCTGCCAGACAGGGAGCCCTCCTCAGAGGGGACTAGGAGACAGTACTCACAGTCAGCAGCCCCATAAGAGAGTGACTAACGCATTCTCAGTCACCTCTGACCCCAGGGTTCTCTGCCTGCTTTCAAACCACTAGGGTGCTGCCTAGGGTGGAGTCTTCACTCACCGTAACTTGCTTCATTTCTGAGAACATGATCCGGTTGGGAATTTCAACCATGTTATCATGAAGAAACTTCCGCCGCTCACACAGAGGCCTAGGGGATGCGAGAGCTGGATCAGGTCAGGCTGCACCCCCCACCCCATTAGTTCTAAAAGGGAGGGGACACAATGACATCTGGCTTCAGCAGAGGGTCTGCCATGGCTTAAAGCCCTTGTATCTAACAGTTGTGCCCGAGAGGGCTACAGGGGCTCCCCCGTGACCAAAGATGACAATGTGAGCTGTGGCACAGAGCCACCTCACCCTGCAGTTCCGGTGTCTGCTTTATTGAGCCATGGGAGAACTGGCCTCTAGCCCAAACAGACTGTATGAATTCAGTCCCAACTGGGAAATGACTCCGACTCTTGTTTTTTATCCCCGGCAACCCTGCCTTATCCCAGGCCCAAGGCTGGTTGGTTCTTGGGTCCGCAGGCTAGTAAGCCGCAGGACGAAGCCCAAACCCAACTCCTGCTCCCAACAATTCTTTCTCCCTTCCCTTCCACATGCGAGGGTGTGGGTCAGTGTGAGAGGGTGGTGGCAGGGACACACTCTGTGGAAGAGGCTAACACTGGTTTCTTGGGCCTAAGAATTTGGAGGCAGCTAAGTCAAGACTGCTCGTTCTCCCTAAGACGGTCCCACTCACAACCCCCCACAATCTTGTGCTTCCTGCTGTCAGCCTTTTCCGAAAGCAAAACCTCTGAGCTGAAAACCATCTGCCTTCTGTCCCCGTGGGTGCTGTTGGAGAAATAAACGGAAAATCCCACTGTGCTCACAGTCTATTTCTTGTCAACAGTCTATTTCTCAACAGTCCATCTTGCTGTAGCAGGGAAAGTTGGGGGGCGGGGGAGCAGGGACTGTGACTTAAGCTCTCACAGATGAGATCTAGTCACCACGTCTTCTCTTCCTAACACTAGATGGGGAGGTGGCTGTGTAGCAAGTGTGCTACCTCTCAGCTCCCCTCTGCTGCTGCCCTGGCGCTGCCCAGCTCCTGGCTCAAAGAAGCGTGTGATCCAGCCCCTTCCTTGCCCTCTTATAATATGAACCCCCACCTCTCCACCCTGGAACTGAAAATAGATTCCTCACCTGTCCATCAAGCTGACACCATTGAAGTAGATACAATCAAAAACAAACAGGCAGACATTAGCATCCTGGAAGGCGGCTTTCTGTCGGAGAAAAGGAGGGCAGTAGGTATGAGGGAGAAAATAAGAGGGCGTGAGAAGTGGGTAATACCAGTCTACTTCTGGAGACCCTCTGCAGCACCTGACAGAAAAGTCCTATTTGTGCTTTGAAGCCCCTGGTCCATAAGGGCATTTAATGGAGACCTACCCAATTATAGTTAGTTCCCAATACTAGCCCCGTTTGATGCAAAAAACACATCTAAACTCTGGGTTAATTCAGAAAAAGTTCAGAAATGAAGAATAAGCCCAAACCTAAGTGAGTGATCAATTCTTCCCTTTCAGACTGATGAGCGTGCACACACACACACACACACGCACACACTCAGTCTTGCACATTTGCCCTGACCCAGTACCTTGTGCACACCCAGAGTCCCAAAGGGCAATGGTTTGCCTGTCTTGTTGTCAATCAGGAGCACTTCAGAGTCCAAGATCATACTGTGGCCCCCAGGGAAAGCCTGAGGGATGTAGTCCTTAAAGTGGGCCACCTGGAGGCAGAAGGGTCACTTAGATGAGGGAGAAGTAGGCAGTAGGGACCTGAAACCAAGCCACAGAAAGCAAAACCCAGGCCCCAGAAGGAACATAGAATACCAACATGTGGAAGCCCAGCTACTGTGCAAAAAAACCCTAGGCCTTGTCAGCCACCTGGACAAAAGGAATAAGGTATGCTTCAGAACCCCTGTCCAGACCCAGGAAGAGGGTGGCACATGTTGAGCCCCTTTCTGTGGGCTACAGAGGAGAGTTTGGAGGAAAAGGAAGAAACAGAGAATATGTGAGGACAGGTCAACATGGAAGGGAAGGAGGAGAGGTGAGCAGGCAGAGATCTGTGGGGAAAAACAGATTGGATGGAAAATATATAGAAAAGGGGAAATGAATCCCCTAGGAGCAGCAAGGAAATGCAGGAAGAGTCTTCTCTGAACCCATAGCCATCTTCAAATGAGTAGGAAAGGAAATTTGGAATTGGACTTTTTCTGAACAAGGCCGAGCCCCAGTCTCTGACAGTTCCAGGCAGGGAGAAGTCCCACTGTTATCCATGGCAGCCCCCACTAAGTGATGCCAGCAGTGAGGTCCAGAGAGATGACTGTGGTCCAGTTCTTCCCCTGGGCAGGGCACATCGGCCATACACACGTGCGATTCTTAAACCGGGGACAGGAGAGATCTGCACACACCCATCCCACTCTGTTTCAATCCCCTCACGAGCCGAAGCCACAGGAGAAACAGGTGAGCGAAACTTTGGTAAGGGAGAGCAGGGAGAGGGCTCGCACTCTGGGAAGCTGAGCTTCACCTTCTCCTGGGTAACAGGAGGTGCCCATTGGCCAGCTCGCCAGGAGCCGTGCCTTAGCCGTTTTACTGCGCACCCGGGCTCCCCGGGGAAGCACTGCTCGGCTGTCCTCTGGACACCTGAAACGAACAGCCTTGCTGCTCTGTGCCAGCAGGAAGGATGTGAGCCACACACCACAGCGCCTGCAACCAGGGGCTCTGAGGTGGGAAAGAAGGGGCAGCAAGGATGGGAAGTCCATGTACTCACTAGCTGCTTTTCCTTGAAGATGCCCCTCCCAGAGGCCCTGAGAGCTGAGAAGGGCTGAGAAATGAGGTTCTCAATGCCCCATTAAAGGCAGGGGTTTGGGCTCCCAGATGTCCCCAGTGGGGCTTTTTTTTAAAAATATATTTTTATTGATTTTTTAGGGAGAGAGGAAGGGAGAAAGAGAAACATCGACGTGAGAGAGAAACATCGGTTGGCTGCCTCCTGCACGCCCCCTACTGGAAAGTGAACCGGAATCTCTCAGTCCATGGGACAACACTCAGTCCACTGAGCCACCCCGGCTGGACAGGGACTTTTAAAAATTTTTATACTGCTGTATGTCCAAACAGTGCCTAGGACAGACTAAGCACCTGATAAATATCTGTTGAACAAATTCATGAATGATGATGACCCAAAAGCCCCTTTGTATCTGAGCCATAATTTATCTCATGGGAGGAAACAAAGGAAATGGAAACGCAAAAGACAAGCACAACAAGTCACTCGCCAGACAGACTCACTGTCCCAGCATCACTGGGCAGGGGAGACATCACTGCCCTCTGGGCTCTGTGCTGACTAACCGAGTCCAACTGGCCTACTGAGCAACCCCTCATTATTGGAAGAGTCCATAAATGAATAAATAAATTCATTCATTCACTCAAAGAATATAAAACAAACCTATTGTGTACCAGAGCTGGAATGGCTATGGCACTCTGGCCCTCGGAGCCTTAGAGGCAGAAGGGAAAGACAGTCCTGGTAGGAAGGCAGGGACCTTACCTTGTGAGGTAGGACAGGCTTGAGACTGCGGCTGAAGTAGCTGAAGTGGTCTCCGTTCTTATGCACCTGGACTCGCTCCCCATCATACTTGATCTCAGAGAACATGCCGTTAGGACACTTCTTCATTGCGTACTCAATGGACTTGCAGGCCTCGGCCTTGGGAGGTGGGGGGGAAAGCCTAGAGATTACAGGTGCTCTTCTCACGAGGGCAGCTCAGCAGCAGAGCCCAAGGGCCCTGGCCGACTACTGGAGCACATCCTCAGGGCCGACCACTGAAGAGGTGATGGGGACGGAAAAGGCTGTGCAGTGTCATACCTGGAGTTGACACAGGAGCCTGCATTTTGAGGACTATGAATGCAATTCATTTTAGAGCTAATAAAGTTCCACTGAAACAGCATTTCATTTTCCCCAATAATGCAGGATCTTTCAGGGCCTCTGGCTTAGTAAACATACTGTTATCTCAGCACAGGAGGTACGGAGAGGTGAGATTAGAGTGCAGGTGGCAGTGAGGCTGGCAGGTCCCTCGGACAGGACACGACACGACACAGGAGTGCTTATCACATACCTGTGCCATCCTGACTCAAATAACAATGGCTACCATTTGGGGGGCATTTATATGTGTCAGATCGTATACATAATTTCACTTTATCCTCGATGGGGTATTTTATATGACAGGTATTATTGTTTTCATTTTATGGATGAGAAAACTGAAGTTCAAAGAAGTACCTCACTTAAGATTCCATAGCTAGTGAAAGGCAGGAATGAGGTTTGAATCTAAGCCCAATTCCAAAGGTTATGTGGTTCATCACTAAGCAACATAACCCATGCCACTCTTTAAATAATAGTTTGTAGAACAGACTCCAGAAAGAATTCTTATAAAAGTCAGAAAGGCCACTTGCGGATGACTAGGTCCCGTCCCTGGGACAGAGATCTCACTATTTTGGTGCTGGCTGTCCCTCCCACATTCCTAGGAGGGAAAGAACACTTCCTACTCCGAACATAACACCCTAAACCAAGGCTTCAGTATAATACACAAGACAGTTTCATGAAAAGCACTACACACCACTGGAGCAACCCAAAGGGTCACACAGTAGGCATGCTGCACGTGTGGGGGGTCCTGCTGCATAGGGAACCCAGTGCCAAAAAGGATGCCCTGTTTCTTATGAGATGAGCAGAGGCCCAAGATGATCTGTCAGAGCTGGTCTTCTCCGCAAGCTTCCTCTTTCCAGAAGAAAAGGAGGCCCCGAGAAACACCCCTCTCCATCTCCACTCTTCCTTCTCCAAACTCCTAAATCAACTCTCAAGGGCTACCAGCATTCATGCCCTCCCAGATTCCACATGGAGGGAGTGGATACTTGGAGAGGAGAAGGCAGGGCCAGAGCAGCATCCTTACCAGCATGGGCTGCACCGGGGTCATCAGTGAGGCCTGAACGCTGAGAGCTCGTCTCCGGCCTGGCTCCTTCTCCACCTCCTGCTCATTGTGGAGGACCCGCTCCACCACGTCCTGCAGGTTGCGTGAGGCTTTGAAGGCTTCATAGGCATTGGGGTCGAGGGCGTCTAACCTGCCAGTGTGGACAGGAGCACTGTCTTTGACCTTACTGCTTTGGATGGCAGTCCGTCCTCACGACAGAAGTCCCGATATATGGGAAAGGGGTATGTTCTAATGTCTAACGACTTTCACAGGTGAAAAAGCTCTTGGACACTGTAGCCCTTCTGATATACTGTGCCTACGTGGATGCTACCCTAGCAAAGAGGGCACTGGAGTGGGTAAGGGACTATTATGCTTAATGAACATAGTCTGTCCTTTGTGAGAAGGGTACTGTTGTTTCCATTTACATAGGAGAAAACGGAGGCTGAGCTAGGTCAAGTGGTGGGTCCCGCAGGAAGGAAGAAGGTAGAATCAGGATTCAGATCCAGATAGGACTCCAAAGTCCTGATACCAGCTGGCAAGGGAAGCTGGCAGCTTAGGCTGTCAGAGGAGCTGGTACTTACACGTGTTTTGCTCCCGAGTTCATCTTCAGATCATGTTTGATCAACCTGATGATGCACTTAAGGTCATTGGCTGTACATCTAGGGGATGAGCACATTCCACTTTGTCTATAAAGAGCTCTGAACCCCCAAACCTTCCTTCCCTAGTGATTCCATCTCCCCACGCCCACCCCCACTGGGCAGCTCCCCAACCTGGAGGCGATGTCCTGCAGGGCCTGTTGCTGCTCATCCTCCTTGGTGAGCTTGGAGAGCCGCAGGAGGAATTCGTCCACCTCCTGGATGGTAAGAAGGCTCTTGGCAGCGGGGGGGAAAGACCTGCTCTGCTCAAAGAAGACTCTGATTGTCTCTGATACATCACCCTGTCTCCAAAAAACAAAATACTACCGCTACAACCCCAAAGTGGCCAACTGTATCCCCCTACCCCCTAGGACTTGAGTTAGAGATTTAATCATTGCTCCTATCCTCAGCTCACACACACTGACCTCATTTCTTAGAGAATCTACCCACCCACAGTTTCTGGAAAGAGTACCTCCATCCATCGAAGGATCTGGCCACCTGCCTTAGCCAAAAAGTGACACAAGGACTAATTCAGGGCTGAGCCGATTTGATTCCTGTTAGAATTTGAACTAATAGACAAATATGATCATCAGATAATGGAAGTAGGCAGATAGAAACTTTCCGGTGCCAAAGCTGGAGTCGTGAACAAACCAAAACTGAATGGTAAGCCTAAGTTATAGGGGAGAAAAAGCAAAAAAAAAATAGAGCCCAGAAAGAGTCCCAGGAGAGACAGCAGGAAGTCTCAGCTCCTGACCCTCGAGAGCTGGCTTTCGTGGCTCAGCAGTAATATGATTTCAAGCCTCAGAACCTTATGAAACTAACAGCTGTAGCCTCACCTTCAGCTCCTCTCATAACGGAAGCTGCTCAAATGGGTTTCAGTTCTCTAAAACAGCATGTACCCCAACCAGAAAAGAGAGATTGCAGGTGCTTAGCCTGGCAGCACCCTGCCTGGAATGCCGCCTCCCTTCCCTTTCCGCTGACCTGCTCTAGATCTCGTGCCATATCATCTGGGTTGCAGTTAAAAATGCGGCTGAAAAGCTTCACAATCTGCTTATCATTCAAGTTGTAAACGCTCTTAATAACACCCGGCAGCAGCAGCTTCACTGTTAGGTACACATCACCATGGAAACCATCTGGAGACAGAAGAAAAGAGCCCTTCTGAGAAATGGAGCTTAAACAAGTAAATACATAAACTCAAGGAACCAAAAGAGGTGTTTACATCGCTGCCTGTGCGGCTACAGTACCCCATGCATTTCATGACAGCAGTAGAGGTCAGTGTTTGGTGGTTGATGTGTCTGCCTCCCCTAACTGAGCCCCTGGAAGAACTCCCGCAGGGCAGAGCCATGACTTCAACTTTAGTGTCCCCAGTGATGAGCACACTGCAGATGCTCAGTGATGACTTGTTAGACGAATGGAAAAAGCAGAGTTGGAAGATTCTATTCCAAGCTATGCAGTGATTCACAAAAACCTAATCAAACATGCAGAACAATGAATCTTCCTCTTGGTCAAATGGGATAGATTCTTCTGGCCTCCTAGGGGTGGAATAAGGGCAGAGGAAGAAAGATGCCAACCTGATTGGAGCAGAACCAGCTACATACTTTGTGGGGCCCAGTACAAAATAAAAAGGCAGACCTCTTTGTTCAAAGCCATTAAGAATTTCAAGCCAGTAAGAGCAAAGCATTAAACTGAGCGCAGGGCCCAATGCCCGTGACTCCGACTATGGCACCGAGCTCATTAGAGGAAGAGCCCACCCAGGATGCTCCAAGCCCCACCTCCTGCTGAGCCTTTCCGAAGGAAGTCCTGGATGATCTGGGTCTTTGTGTTGTAGCTAGGATTTTCAGCCACTGTGGCGCACAACTTCCGAAACTCACGTAGCAGACAATCCTTGTGCTTGGGGTCACATTTGCTTGAGGACAGACTTGTTTTACGGGTAGGGCTTGAGCAGGCTTCTCCAGAGTTGTTGGGCTTGGCTATTGGAGAGGAAACAGCAGAGATGATTCACTTTGCCTTGCTGAGAAGGAAGGGAAACTAACAGGCACTCTGCTGGTGCTCTATGTGTCTCTTTACTTCATCCCCCCAAATAGCCCTTTGGGGTGTGTTACTCATATTTTACAGGTAAAGAAATGAAGGCAAGTAATTTCCCCAAATCTCACAGCTATTAATGGTAAATAAACTGTGGCTTCACACCCAAACAGAAGACCAGGTGAGGAGCATCTCTTTACATGAGCGCTTCACAGAAGAGCAAAGGCCACCTTAAGGCCAAGAGTGGTCAGGAGGATCTCAGAGCTGACCCCAGAAAAGTTGGGATGAGGAAGGGGGAAGAAATCAAAGGACATGTTAGTCAACGTAAAATTATTCCTATCACAGATGGTCAGAGCTGGAAGAAGCCATAAAGATCATCTAGTTCAATCTCTTCTTACTGACAAAGAGACCCAGACTTGAGAAGAGAGACATTCCCAGCTCTTCGCCATTCCCACCCACCCTATTACCACATTTTTTTTTTTTAAATCTTCACCCGAGGACATCCTTCCACTTTTTGTTCAGATACAGTGGGAGGGAGAGACACAGAGAGAGAAACATCGATGTGAGAGGGACACATCGAGTGGCTGCCACCCGCAAAACCCCACAAACTGCAACCAAGGTAGGTGCCCTGAGCGGGAACCAAACCCGGGTCTCTCCGGACTGCAGGCCGACACTCCAACCGCTGAACCAAACTGGCCAGGGCCACTTTCTTTTCTTTCTTAAAGGTTGTCAACAAGTAGGGCTTTTCTCCCGACCCCCCCAAATAACTGTACAACACTTCAGTGATCCCCGCTTACGTCCTTATGACAATGTACAAAGTAGACTCCACCCTGCAAGCTTGCAGCAGAGCTGTTAGCAAGCAGGCTGCTGCTGTAAACTCTGTCGGGGCTTGTAAGTTACAAATGCATCCTTATCTCTGACCTGGAGTCTAAATAGGATTTTAGTGGACAGATCTCCAAAGCATCGATGTTCAGCAGGTTGCAAGAACCAGAACACCCTATTTCCCTCAACTTCTCCCAAGTTCCTTCCCTAGGACCAGGGCCCTTCCAGAAACATGCTGTCCTTATGGTCACCTGGACGCTTCTGTATTTCTATCTTTGGCCTACCATTAAACAAAAAAACAAACCTCAAATTTTTTTGGGGGGGGGTTAATCCTATTTTTCCATTGATTTTTTTTCAGATAGAGTGGAAGGAGGAAGGGGGAGGGAGGGAGAAAGAGAAAGAAACATTGATGTGAGAGAGACACATCGACTGGTTGCCTCCCGCACAACCCTGACCACAACCCCGAAAGGGCCGGGGACCAAACCGCAATTGAGGTATGTGCCCTTGACCAGAACTGAACCTGTGACTCTTTGGTCTGAGGGGCGATGCTCTAACCGCTGAGCCAAACTGGCCAGGGCATGGATGCCATGATTCTTAATTGCCTGCAGGGGTAATGATGGTCCTTATAACAGCTGTTCCCATGGTTATAGGTTCCTACTGTTCCTTTTGACAGATGTTAATGTTCGTGTGTCAAGTCTCACACTCTTGGGAGCCATAGTGTCCACTCACGCACCTTTACCCAAAGTCCAGCTACTTCTACAACAGCCCTGCTCTTCTGGACTCAGCAACAGCAATTCAGCAACTCCTCACCTCAGCCCCTCAGATTGGTGGAAGAAAGCCCCCTCAGGACCCTTTCTGGAAGAAGCATCCTCCGTGATTGAACCTGCTACCTAGGTATGTGCCCTTGACCAGGAATCGAACCCACAACCCTTCAGTCTGCGGACCGACGCTCTAATTGCTAAGCCAACCCGGCCAGGGCCAGAATTTTAAATTAATAAAAACCCTACAGACTCAGCCACCATTTTTACACCCTTAGTCCCTTTAGTCTCATGAGAACACTGTGGGGTAAAGGAGGTGTGTGCTGCCATGCCCACGTCACAGACCCTCATCCAGAGGCTCAGAGGTAAAGTGACTGGATACCCTGAGCAAGCTGTCAGGTCAGTGCTGAAAACAGGACCCAGGGCTTCTGACTGCAAGTCTAGGCTTCTTTCACTCACATAAAGCTACCACCCCAAGCAGCTTCTGAGTCCATGTGTTTTGGCTTCATTTTCTTTACCTGAAATGAGTTAGTCACAGAATGTTTCCAAATAAAGACAGAACAGGATGTAGGGTAGAAGAGCACAGGTGTTAGAATTAAACAGACTTCAGTGTAAACACTAAGTCCATGAAACGTCAACTTTCTCACCCATGAAACAGACCTAATAAAAGTACTTCCTAAGGCTAACTGAGGAGCAGACAGAGCTGCCGATGTCACAGCCCCACCTCGCCCAGTGCTGCTTTCTGCTACATAAGGCGTGTGGGACATCTGCCTTCTCCCATACTTTCATCTCTGGCTTGGGCAAGTTTAGGGATGCAATTTCTCAAAATGCTTTCATAGTAAAAAAACGAGGAAGTAAAGGGCAGGTTATAGTAGTCTGTCCGACCCAGGTAACTACTTCAAAGGGAAATGTCTTGAGAAAGTCAACATCTTTTTGCTACAATAGAGCTTAAAGTATACAAAAAAATGCTATACGGTAGAGCACTGAGAATTAGCCATTACCTGGCTCTGCTCAGAGGGAAGCAGATTATTAATAAGACTAGACAGCACAGAATTTTCACTCATAGCCATAGTCCCAAGTAGGATACCAAATTAAAAGGAGGACCATGACAGCTAAAGTAGCCCTAACCTATCTTACCTGAAAATCCAGAAAATTTCCGGGGATTGTTATTGGTAACAAATGAAGCACCTTTCACCGGAGATGTCACCTGGCCTGTGGCTGTCAGCTTAGCCTGAACGACGGCTTTCTTCTTTGGTGTGCTTGTTGCCTTAGAAGACAGATCTGTAGATCCCCAAAAGAAAGGAAAATATGCTTCAGTTAAAGATCCCTGAGAAAGTGTCCAAAGGATCTATTAACTGCTCATACAGCCTTGTTTGGCAAGTTAGTACCAACCCTGGCTGCTGGCTGGGTGGAGGTACCTGGTAATATGGTATTGGGGGAGGGTGTTACGGGAACAAAAGATCCAGTTACCCTTTATTAGTAACTTAAATATTCATCAACACTCTCTCCCTCTTATCTCACATATAGTAATCTCCAGATTATTTGGGGAAAATTAGAAACCACATCTCAATATATAAAACTTGGGAACCTCAGCTCCATGGAATTAGCCCCAATTTATAGAAGCACAAGAAAGTAAAATGAAAATGGGTAACAGAGCAGGTCAGTTTGGCAGAGACAGGAGAACTTCCAGCTGCTGAGTTATCTGAACTATGTGACAGTGTATTTTCCTTCCTCTGAATGAGGTGGGTCAAGAAGTAACAAAGGCTGAGGCTAATGGCTAAGGCAGGGTAGGGCAGGATAGAGAGCTTGAGAAAGGAATATATGAGTAGTTTTCTCTCCAGGATGTCTTTCTTCCTCTCAAAAAACAAGGATAGAGGTCCATTTTTAGAGCCACTGTTAGAATCCTCCTAGGTGACAAAAACTATACTTAATTGAAGATATGAATATTATTTTAAAGATGAGGCCCTGGCCAGTTTGGCTCAGTGGTTAGAGCGTCGGCCTGCGGTCCAGAGAGACCCGGGTTCAGTTCCCGCTAAGGGCACGTACTTCGGTTGCAGTTTGTCCCCGGCCCTGGTTGGGTCGTGCAGGTGGCAGCCATTTGATGTGTCCCTTTCACATCGATGTTTCTCTCTCTCTCTTCCTCTCTCTCCCTCCCACTCTGTCTGAACAAAAAATGGAAAAGTGTCCTCGGGTGAGGATAAAAAAGAAAGGCTAAACCCATAAGAAAGATTGGTGAATAAATAAATATCATATAAAGATGAGGATACTCATGGCCATAAAGGACTAACTGGATTTGGAATTATCAGTGTAAGATTTCTAAAATAGGCATAAATGTAAATATGCATGTATGTGTGTATTTATATATATCTGTGTGTATATGTGTGTGTGTTTTGGGTATATACACACATTTACTTTCTAGTTCTAGTTTGCTGAAAGGGCTTAAAAGCAAAGACATCTCATGGCAACAAAGGCATGGAGCATTCAGATTTTAGTCTCTAGTGCCCTTCCTCAGTAACAGGAACCAGGACTTTTCAGAGAAATGGCTGATTCCAGGGCAGGGAGGGGATACGTAGAAGGTAAGCCTAAGCACAGACTGTTGCCAGAGGAAGGGAGTACTTGAAAACATTTTATTTTATATTTTTATTATTATTTTTGTTAATCCTCATCTGAGGATATTTTTCCATTGATTTTTTAGATAGAGTGGAAGGGAGGGAGGGAGGAAGGGGGAGAGAGGGAGAGAAGAGAGAGGGAAAGAGAGAGACACTGATTAGCTGCCATATCGATTTGTTGCCTCCTGTAAGACCCTGACCAGTGCCAAGGATGAACCTGCAACCCAGGTACATGCCCTTGACTGGGAATCAAACCCTCAACCCTTTGGTCTGCAGGCCAACACTCTAACTGCTGAGCCAAACTTGCCAGAGCTAAAAACATTTTAAAAAACAAGACAAGGACCCAGCTGGTGTGGCTCAGTGGTTGAACATTGACCCATGCACCAAGAGGTCACCGGTTCGATTCCCGGTCAGGGCTAATGCCCAGGTTGTGGGTCAGATCCCCAGTGGGGGGCATGCAAAAGGCGGCCAATCGATATTCTTTCTCTTTCATCGATGTTTCTATCTCTTTCTTCCTGTCCCTTCCTCCCTCTCTAAAAATCAATAAAAAATAAATGTTGTCCGACTAATGTGGCTCAGAGGTTTAGCATCCACCCATGCACCAAGAGGTCGCCAGTTTGATGCCTGGTCAGGACACATGCCTGAGTTGTAGGCCTGATCCCCAGTGGGGAGCATGCAGGAGACAGCCAATTGATATTTGGTGTTTCTATCTCTTTCTCCCTCTCACTTCCTCTCTCTCTAAAATCAATAAAGGAAAAATAAATAAACAAACAAACAAACAAGATGAGGGCATTCAGTTCATAGAAACTAGCTCAAAGCATCTCCCAACTAGCCAAGTATGGGACATTAAAGCACAGTAAAATTATAAGCCACCAGGAAAAAGAAGTAATCTATGAGTCCATACAGATAATAAATTGATAGATAAAATTGATCTATCATCCCCGCCAGTTTGGCTCAGCGGTTAAAGCATTAGCCCTCAGACCGAAGGGTCGTGGGTTTGATTCCAGTCAAGTGCAAGTACCTTGGTTGAGGTTTGGTCCTCGGCCCTGGTCAGGGTTGTGTGGGAGGCAACAAATTGATGTGTGTCTCTCACATCGATGTTTTTCTCTCTCTTGCTCTGTCTGAAAATAAAATGGAGCCCTGGCTGGTTTGGCTCAGAGGTTGGAGCATTGGCTTGCGGTCTGGAGAGACCCGGGTTCGGTTTCTGCTAAGGGCATGTACCTCGGTTGCAGTTTGTCCCTGGCCCTAGTTGGGTCGTGTGGGTGGCAACCACTCAATGTGTCCCTTTCACGCCAAGGTGTCTCTCTCTCTCTCTCTCTCTCTCTCTCTCTCCCTCCCTCCCTCCCACTCTATATGAACAAAATATCGAAAAATGTCCTCGGGTGAGGATAAAAATAAATAAATAAATAAAATAAAATGGAAAAATATCCTTGGGTGACGATTAAAAAAAAAAAAAGACTGCCCTGGCCGGTTTGGCTCAGCGGTTAGAGCCTCAGCCTGCGGTCCTGAGAGACCCGGGTTCGGTTCCGCTAAGGGCGCGTACCTCGGTTGCAGTTTGTCCCCGGCCCTGGTCGGTTGTGCGGGTGGCAGCCACTCGATGTGTCCCTTTCACATCGATGTTTCTCTCTCTCTCTCTGTTCCTCTCTCTCCCTCCCACTCTACCTGAACAAAAAATGGAAAAATGTCCTCTGGTGAGGATTAAAAAAAAAAAAAAAAAAAAAAGACTATGGAAATGTTCCAGATTAAAGAAGGCCAAAGAAATATGACTACTAAATGCAATTCCTGATCTTAAGATAGGGATTCGATACTGGAGGTGGGGGGAAAGCTATAAAAGGTATTTTATCAATTGACAAAACTGGAATACAGGTGGTAGATTAAAGTATTATATTAAGAATAAATTCAATGAAGTTGTTAGCTGTAGCATGGTCATATAAGAGAATATTGCTATTCTTAAAATATATACACTGAAGCATATAAAGGCAAAGGGGCCATAATGTATGCGACTTACTCTCAAATGGTTCAGGAAAAAAAAAACTGCATGTGTGTAAGGAGAGAGTAATAAAGGCAGTGTACATAAACACTAATGATAAAGCAAAGACAGTGAAACGTTAATAAAAGGTAAATCTGGGTAAAGGGAATATAAGTGTGTTTTGTACTATTTTTATTCCTGCAACTCTTCTGTAAGTTTGAAATTTTTTTCCAAAAAAAAATTAACAGAATAAATACAGACAGACATTGGACTCTACTCACATCACTTTTTTTCTCAGTACCAGTAAGATGAGAAAGTAGTATTCTTTACCTCACCTGCAATATGCTGACTTATCTGCTCCTTCTCATTATCTTCCAGCTCTTCCCAGCCTTCCAGCTCTGTGAGGTCCTCAATTTTTTTTGTGGTGGCACGGGCCCGCTCCAGTTTCTCAAACATGCATTTCACGTGGTACCACTCTTTCATATCACCCCCAGACTCTGAGAAGGGGTTGGGTACCACTTTGCCGATTCGGCATACGCCCTTCACAATCTTTTCCTTGCATTTTTTGCAACCAGCTGTTCCACGCTTGGCATAGTCCACACAGAACCGTTGCTCCATCTCACAGGGCCCACTGCAGAGTCCCACATGCGACCGTGGCAAGAAGACAAAGCAGGAGGCTCGTGGTCTTAGATTGCCTTTTTGGAATGACAGAATGGGCTTTCTTTTCTGGAGGAGACAGTGCCCATGAAGCCGATCTGTTTCTGACCACTGGCTGAACTGTTTTATGTCTGGCCAGAGATGTTCTTGGAATAGGCACAGTTCTTTTCGGCTGAGTGTACGGAGGGTTGATGGGAAGAGGATCTTGAAAGCCAAAGTCATACAGCTGCACAAAAGTGTGAGAGGTAGAAAAGGTGAGATATAAATGAGAAACTAGGCTTTCAATTCCTCAAAGGCCAAGGTCCTATACAGTCTATAATGACTAATCATACACTTTCCAACATATAAAAGATTTAATGCCTAGAGGATGAAGAACAGTTCCAATACAGGAAAATTCAGTTTGCAAAAGGGTGTTCAGTTACCTAATATACACATATATAATTAGCAAATCACAATCAAGAGAATCCAAATAACATAAACGCTTTTCTCACATTATCAGCAATACCTGATACTCAAAATGAATATAACCCTTAAGTATTACAAGACCTGAAGTTTCTTTTTAATCACCAAGACAAATTACATTATGTCCATGAATTTTTTTTTATTAATTTTTGTTACAGATGTTTCTCCTCCCCCACTGATTCCCCCCTCCCCCTCCCTCCCTGCCCTGTCCCCAGCTTTGTTGTCCATGTCCATTGTTCATGCATACATGCATATAAGTTCTGTGGTTTATCTCTCCCCCACCACCCCCTCTTCTGGGGATTGTCAGTCTGTACCCCACTTCCATGTCTCTGGGACTACCCCATTCCTCAGACTATTATGTTCATTATATTCCACAAATAAGTGAGATCATATGATACTTGTCTTTCTCTGTTTGGCTTGTTTCACTTAGGATGATACTTTCCAGGTCCCTCCATGTAGTCTCAAAGGATAAGAGATCTTTCTTTCTTACAGCTGCATAGTACTCCATTGCATGTCCATGAATTTTTATAATTTATGCATATATGCCATCTTTGGAAACTAGGCCACTCTATAGATCTGTGCCCACAGCAGAGGCCCAATAACTGTTAGCCCTTATACTCAGTGAAGCTGTTTTCCTTTAAGCAGAGGCTCCCTACATGCAATTATATTTCAGCAACTTGAACCAGAGAATACTGAAGTACCAAGGCAACAAGAATCAAAGGAACGGATAAATCAATCCCAATGGAAACAGGGATAATACGTGCATGGTATTCCCCTTAGCTTCCCATTTTCTGAAGTTATCTTCATAGTTCTGGTTTTAAATATACTGTAAATGATGCCAGTCTGTACACCGCTTTGTGTGAAATTGCTATTGGGTTGCATATAACGAAAAGCAGACTTCACTTAATGTAGTGCAACTTGATGCAGAGGAAGGCAGATGGATGGGAACTGGGGGTGGAAGTGCAAGCGTGACAGTACAGCTTAGGGGTTATGTTATCTCTGAAACATGCCCGAGTCTCAGTTTTCAAATTTCTAAAACAGGGGAAAGAATACCCATCTCACGGAATGGCTGGGGAAATGAAAATGAGTTTACGGATGGACTGGTGTGTGTGCGTGCACTCTGAACTTCCTGAAAATGCATACAAAATGTGCATATTCATAAATGCACCTTTTTCTTTGTTGAGCACCCTCTGCTTTTCATGAAATTCACAAAAAGCTCTATAACCCCCGGAAGGTTAGGAAGCATAGATGACACATGAAAGCATGGCCGGCTCCCGAGAGGAGCTCAGAACACCTTCCTCAGAACGGTTTACGAAGCAGCCCCACTCCCATCGCGAAAGCAGCCGCCTCAGCGCCCCTCGCGGCGCCCGGTCCGCCCCGGCCGCTCGGAGGAAGCCCGCGGGGCCCCAGCCGGCCGCGCCGCGCAGCCCTGCAGCCAAGGAGCCGAGGACACCGCGAGGCCTGAGCGCCGCGGCTCAGTGGGCTGCCCCGGGCCGGGAAGTGAAAGCCCCGCGGCCGCTTTTCCTGGAGGGCCTTCCCGCGGTGCTTTCGGGCAGTGGGCAGTGGGCAGTGGGCAGTGGGCAGTGGGCAGGGTGCGGACGCCCGGGCCGCCCGGGGAGGCGAGAAGCGCGTCCCTCGGACTGAGGACACAGACCAGGGCTGGGGAAAGGGACGCGACGGGAAGAGAAAGGCTCCAGTGTGCCGACCCGGCCGGGGCCAGAGCGGCCCCCGCGGGGGCACCCTCCTTGGTGTGGATCCGTGGGGGTCCCGGGGAGCCGCAAGCCAACCCCCATGGGCTCCCGGGGGGGCGCCACGTCACGGAGGGTGTGCCCCGGGGCTCCGCGGGCGGGCGGGGGAGGAGCCGAGGGGGCTGGCTCCCGCACCGCGTCAAGTCCCGGGCCCCGGGCCGCCTCCCTCCCCACGGCCTGGACCCGCCGCGCCGCTTCTCACCTGCCTTCCCGGCTCCGGCGCACACCGAAAGCCTCGGACTGGGCGCCCACAGGCCGCGCTCAGCCACCACGGTTGTAGCGCCTGTCTCTTTAAATCCGGGTCTTTGAGCCGGCCGCAGCGCGCAGGCGCAAAGGTCCTGGCCCAAGCTGCGCCACGCGTCCTCCCCCCGCCCCGCGCCAGCCACGTGGGCGATTGTGAGGTTCAGAGGAGGGAGGCGCTGGGTACTGTGTTGAGGGGTTCCTGATCTGTGATCAGAGCCGGGAAAGCGGAGATTCGGGATGTGGTGGCGCCCAGGAGCGCAGCCCGGCCTGAACTTCTGAGGACTCTCTGATTTGCTGATAATGTTAGAGATTACCTAGTCCTTAAAGTTCCTGGTTGGGAAACTATATTGTGAAGGGCTTGAGGAAGGCAGTCACATCATTTCAACCTCCTTTTCTGTACGCCCTCTGTCTTGTTTCCACACAGTGCCTAGCGCATAGTAAGTATACTACAGATATTACTGAATTGAAAAGAGGCATTAGATAGGTATAGATATAAAATGTAAAAGAGTGATGGGGAGGGTCATCAGGAGCAGGGGTGGCGAACTTGGGAGGGGAACGTCTGGCTCGCCCGCGGTACCGGGAAACCAATACCAGCTAACATCCTAGGCTTCACCAAATTAGCCTGATCAAATATAGCAGGCTAATTTTTAAGTTGATAATTTTGCATGGCTGGTAAATGATGTTATAAATATCCACATGGCCCTTGGCAGAAAAAAGATTTCCCACCCCTGAACCTCTTTTAAACCTCAAATCAGCTTTTTGAGAGATTAGGATGGCCATTTTTACAAAAGCGTAGCAGGCTTAGAGGAGGCTAAGTGAACTTGGTCAGGGTCCAGGATGGGCTAACGATTGATTGGGCATTGTTAGAGAGGTAAGCCAAGAGGAGATCCTGGAGGGAGTTATTTGCCATTTGAAAAGAGCTTGACCTTTATTGCATAGGGGATGGAGAGCCATGTAAGGCCTTATGAAGTAGTAACTACTGTTGAAGCTGTGTAGGGGAGAGACTGAGGTAAGGGAACTGATTAAAAAGTTCTTGGTGCTGGCTTTGGCAGCATGTATACTAAAACTGGAACTTAGTGTGACCCCTATCCAAGGATGAATTACAAATTTGTGAAGTGGTCCATAATTTTAAGGAAAAATAATTTTTTTTCTCATTGCATCCATATGAGATGATGGATGCTAACTAAACTTATTGTGGTAATCATTTCACAGTTATGTAAGTCAAATCATTATGTTGTACACCTTAATGGTTGTGATGTATGTTAATTATATCTCAATAGAACTTGGTGGGGGGTGGATCTTGTGACAGATGAAGGTGGCCTGAACAAGCTCAGTTAGTTAGAGAGAGGTGCATTTTTTGCTAAAAATTTAGATTTTAAATGATCTTCTTGACAAAGTGCTCATTTACCTAAGAATGAAATGAGGATGACTTGAGTGAGCAGATAGGTAATGGTGCCATCAACTGAAATAGGAAGTGAGAGGGGAGGAGGAGGCATTCAAGGTGAAAGGGTGAATTTTGTTTTGGATACATTAAGTGGTTGGTTGAGGCCAGCCACCATCCCATTGTTTGAAATGGGGTAGAGCCGCTAATTTGCAGAATGAAGATCTTTGGGATTAGAAGGTCACTGGAGGTTCAAGTCCTAACTCTGGCAGTTGAGTGATCCTGAAAATATCTATATATCACGGCATTTACTGACATATCACTGATATATCTATATATCACTGTGTTGTTTTGAAAATTCTCATAACTGTATCTTTTTCCTTAGCCCTGTGCTGTCACATGCTGTCATCACTAGCCACATATGGCTTTTGAGCTCTTGAAGTGTAGCCCATCTGAATTGAGATGTGCTGTGTCAAGTACACACTGATTTCAAAGACATGTGACCAAACAAACAAACAAAAAGAATGCAAAATACCTCATTAATAATATATGGCTGTTGATTACATGTTGAAGTGATTATTTTGGGTATGTTGGATTAAATAAACGTATATTATTAGAATTAATTTCAACTTTATTTTTTACCTTTTGAAAATGTGTCTAGAAAATATAAAACTGTACACTTAGCTCACATTATACTTCTGTTGGACAGCACTGTCCTAGCCTTCAAACCTGTTTGTGGAGAGTGACATCTGTGCTTTATGCATCTTTTTGTTGTTGTTAATCCTTACCGGAGGATATTTTTTTTCCATTGTTTTTTAGAGAGTGGAAGGAGAGAGGGGTAGAGAGAGGGCGAAACATCGATGTGAGAGACACACATCAATTGGTTGCTTCTTGCACGCACCCTGACTGGAGCCAGGGATCGAACCTGCAGCCCAGGTATGTGCCTTTGACTGGGAATCGAACCTGAAACCCTTCATTGCTTAGACTGATGCTCTAGCCACACAAGCCAGGGTGCCTTATGCATCTTTTTATCCTGTGCCTAGAACAAGTACCAGTACATAGTAGGCACTCAGCAGATATTTATGAATAAATGAATGAAACCCATGAGTGAATAGAATGAATGAACGAAGCTCTGAAAGTGCTGAGCTCCCTCAGAAGGATGTTCATTACATTGTATCTTTGACTGTTTGATATAAATGTGGCCAAAGGCTCAGGTTCTAAATGTTTGTTTTGTTTGATTAGAGCTCCAAGGAACCCTAAGGAATGATTTCTTTTATTCAGACCCCTGCTGCAAAATGTAACTAGCTAGCAGTTGCATTTTCTTAGAGAAGTGGAAACTGCTACCAAGGAGAAGGACCTAATGTGTGGTGGGAATAGCAGGGCTTTGGAATCACACAGACTTACATTTGAATTATGATTCACCACCGGCTGTGTAATCTTCATCTGTTTTCTTAACTTCTCTGAGCCTCAGTTTTCATGGTGAAACAGGGATCAAAATATCTCGTAGGATTGTGTGTGACAATTAGATGATATATATATATTTTTTTATCCTCACCCGAGGACATTTTTCCATTTTTTGTTCAGGTAGAGTGGGAGGGAGAGAGAGAAACAGAGAGAGAGAGAGAAACATCGATGTGAAAGGAACACATCGAGTGGCTGCCACCCGCACAACCGACCAGGGCCAGGGACAAACTGCAGCCGAGGTACATGCCCTTAGCGGGAACCGAACCCGGGTCTCTCAGGACCGCAGGCCGACACTCTAACCGCTGAGCCAAACCGGCCAGGGCTTAGATATTTTAACGTGCAAACTGCTTGGCACTTAGAGATATTTCATTCAGTAAGTGTACATTCCCCTCTACTCCCCAGCCTGGATACATTCATACCACTGCTGAGTTTAGTCATTCAGTTGGTTATCAATCAGTCAAGTATTTATTGAGTACCTACTTTGTATTAGGCACTGTTATCAGGAACTGGAATGCAGCAGTGAAACAACACAAAAATCCCTACCCTCATGACTAATAGGTTAATGCGGGAAATACATGATATACAGTAAGTGAAATGCATAGTATGTAAGATGATAATGGGTGCCATGGAAACAAAGAAAGTAGAGGAGGAAGATAGAAGGTCCCAGGCAGGGCAGGGTTGCAGTTTTAAATACAGTGGTCAGGAAGGCCTCACCAACAAAGTGATAACTGAGTAAAGAATGGAAGGAATGAAGGAGAGCGCCAGGAGGAGCTCTGGGGGAGAGGGAGCGGCAAGTAAAGGCCATGTTGGGAGAGAGCAAGGAGGTGGGTGTGGCTAGAGCAGCAGGAGTGAGGATGGAGGATTGGAGGTTCCAGGATACCCCAAAAAGATCCTGTAGGCCCTACAGTGTAGGGTCTTATAAACTAGAGTAAAGATGTTGGCTTTTATCGCAGGTGAAATGGGAAGCTAATAGATTATATTGAACAGAGGCATAGCATGATCTGATTTAGGTTTTAACAGAATTGCCATCACTCTGGTTGCTGTGTAGAGAAACTGGGAGTGTTTGATGGCTACTGTAAAGATGTAGGGGAGAGCCCTGGCCAGTTTGGCTCAGCGGTTAGAGCTTCAGCCTGCGGACCAGAGAGTCCCGGGTTCGGTTCCCACTAAGGGCACGTACCTCGGTTGCAGTTTGTCCCCGGCCCTGGTTGGGGTCGTGTGGGTGGCAACCACTTGATGTGTCTCTCTCATATCGATGTTTCCTCCCCCCACTTCTGCTCTACCTGAAGATAAAAAAGTGCAAAAATGTCCTCAGGCGAGGATACCAACAAAAAGAATGTAGCATGACTGCCAGTTTAGACTCATCAGAATTGTTAAGGGAAAAAAAAAATTGCAGTAAAATGGGTAGATTCTGTTCATTTTTTTATGCTACTCACTGTGGAAGCTCGGCAGCCATCGGCAGCATAGGGAAAAGGCTTCACGCCTTCGGAGAGAAGATGTGGAGCACTTGTGAGGCTAGGTTGCACCCAGTGGATTCCTTTTTTAATAAGCTCTGGTCTATGAATCATGTAAATCTCAGCACCGAGAGCCGATTTTTCTGGTTTGGTTTGCTTAATAGTCATACAATTAAAATAAGTTGTAAAACACGGTGGTGGTGTATGCCAGGATAAATATTTAAAAGGGAACAGCTGTAGGAAGATATAATAATTCAAATCAGCCCATGGCATTCTTAATAAAGGCTGTAGAGGCTTGTTCTTAACCAGAGGGATTTCTTGGCCTCTTTGAATATCTTTGTGCTGCAGCTGCCAGGTTGAGGCAGGACAGAGCAAAGAGGAGTCAGTCAAGTGTGCCTTTCGGAATAGCTGATCTGTGGCACAGAGACAGGGACTTCTAGGGCAGGGTTGAGGTCACAGATACGGAGTGAGACTCAAAGTTGCTACCATCTCCCTTGATCTTCTAGGTTGAGTTTTCTAATGTGAAGTCCTGGTGGTCATGCTTTTTAGAAGGCAAGTTAATACTTTTCAAAGGGAAAATGTATTTTACAAAGAGATGAGCCTATTTGGGAAGTAAAAGGTCTGAGCCGGTGGGAGATCACATCCACAACACAAGGCCAACGGAGAACAAAATGGCTTTATTGCATGTGCCTGGGTGCAGGCGGGCCGAGCCAAAAAGGGTTCAGCCTCAAATAACAGTTGGGGTGTAGGTTATATACTCTACTTTTAGCTT